GAGCGGCCAGTTTGGCACAATTTAGGAGTTGAAAGTTGAAAGTTAGCTTTGTTGTCAATTTCCTCACATGTACTAGACATACAAAGGAATACACGCATCAAGAATCTCGAACTTCCGGTCATTGTGCAGTGCATACTGGGAAGGATTTTCAGAAAAAGTGAGCATCAAACCGCCATGTTTGTTTTCCCAGTGGGATGCGTCTATTGACAAAGTCGATCTTTTCAAGTCTTTTGAACCATGTTGCTTTTGTTTCTGGTTCTGATATTGTCATGTTTTAGTTTTGGGATTCGGACATCGTTAATTGTGTGGTTGTTGGATCCTAACAGCGGAAAACGGCTCGAGAAATTTGTTTGCGAACTCCATAAATGCAAAAGGGAATCAGATGTGTGTGACTGCAAACCTCTGTTCAAACTGTTTCTCCTTCCCAACGGAATTGAAAATAGTAAAAGGCGAAGGCGATGGGCAGGATCGATCCACAGGAAGGATGAAAAAGGAAACCTTTGACTGCCTAAATCATCCCGAGTTTGCAACGAACATTTTGTATGTGGAGCGACAACAAAGCGGGATCCTGTTTGTTAAGCGAGAGGTGCAGAAGACAAACAGGTCGAGCTGCACTTTCTTGTTCTTGTGGTTTTACAGCAACATCACGTCTTGGTCTTTTTGCAGTGGAAGGTGTTTCTTGGTGAACAGCTGGTGCCTTTCACTTTGGCGTTGACTTTTTAAATTCGTAACCAAGACTGAGTGAGGGATCTGGGTTTTGCTTTGTTGTCGCTCCACATACAAAATGTTCGCTGCAAATTCGGGATGATTTCTTAGGCAGTCAAAGGTTTCCTTTTTTGTCCTTCATGTGGATCAGTCCTGCCCATCGCCTTCACCTTTTACTATTTTTCAATTCCGATGGGAAGGGAAAGAATTTGAACAGGGGTTTGCAGTCACACAAACCTGAATCCCTTTTGTATTTATGGAGTTTGCAAACAAATTTCTCGAGACGTTTTCTGCTGTTAGGATCCAACAACCACACAATTACGATGTCTGAATCCCAAAACTAAAATATGACAATATCAGAACCAGAAACAAAAGTGATATAGTTCAAAAAACTTGAAAAGATCGACTTTGTCAATAGACACATCCCACTGGGAAAACAAACTCAGCTCATTTTTTCTGAAAATCCTTCCCAGTATGAATTACACAATGACCGGAAGTCCGAGATTCTTGATGCGTGTATTGAATTTATGTTTGTCTCTTTGTTATTAGGTTATTTTTTCAGACCAAGAGTTCATTTTCATACCTGACAGTTTCGACCGGCCACGTCACAGCGACATCACGTGACTCTGAGGTTGACACTAGTGAGCAGTCGAAACTGTCAGGTATGAAAACGAACTCTTGGTCTGAAAAAAGAACCTAATAACATAAATTATCGGAAGACCAAATAAACCTGGAGGCGTGTGAAGAGGCCGCTACGTCTTCACACGCCGCCATTTAAAGGTTGTATGGAGGTTTTTGTTTTTGTTTCAAACTGTCAGTGAAAGATTAAAATACCATTACAGAGACACAGCAGCTTTGTAATTATGATGACCAAAAAAAAAAGAACGAAAATCTATCAACTGTGGACATGTTGAGGCCAGATAAACATCAGCCAATAGAAAACGAGGCTCCCTCATTTTCTATTGGCTGTTAGGTTGTCAATCAAACTCCCTAGTATAACTGACTCGTCGGAGCGCGGGGATTACGTGGTTTACGCAGCGGTTCTTAGAGGCTTTTTCGAACTGTCGCTTCCTCGCATTTCACACAAAGTTTGTCGCGACGGCGGACGAGAATCCACGACCGGTTCGCCGCGAAAGAAAGTCCGTTTTTGAGGTCGCTGAAAGAAGAAGAGAAGAGGAAAAGGAGCAAAGCCAAACTGAGGTGATTCTTGGAGATCTCGTCCAGCGATGGCGCGACCGAAGCAGACGAAGGGTCTAAAAACTGACGCGTCGGTCGCTGAATTACTTCTAGACAGGAAACTTCAACAGTAATTCTGAACGCGCACAAGGACTGTCGCTGTATTTCTCTTCCCTTAAAAAAATCCTCTATACAACCTTTAAGTTTTGCTGCAGCACGTCTCAGTCAAAAGTCTCAGTTTGGGGAGAGGAAGGGCCAACAGTGTCCCTCCTCTTTTTCCTGCAGCATCACAGCAGCCTGCAGGAGGAGTCTGGGACAGGAAAGGTCTCATTCTTACTCGGCTCTGGTGTTTTGATTGGTGATAAAATGGTCCATTCCCTCCAAGTGTTTTCTCTGGAAGATCTTTACCCACATTTGTTGCGACATACACTACCGCTCAAACGTTTTAGAACACCCTCATTTTTCCAGGTATTTACTGCAAGTCAAGTCGTGCAAGTCCAATGAAGAGTTTGAAATGGTACAAAGGTAAGAACTGAACAGCCAGAGGTTAAAAAAAGCTAAAAGATACAAAACACAAGGCCAAGCTCTGCCAAAATAACCTCAGGAAAAAAAAGAACGAGATGATAAACATGAAAACATGGAGCGTCCAGCACAGTGTCCAGACTTAAACTCCATCGAGCTGGTTTGGGATGAACTGGACAGAAGAGTGAAAAAGAAGAAACCTACAAGTGCCACACATTTATGGAAACTTCTGCAACAGACTTGGGAAGAACTTTCTGAAGAATATTTGATTTCTATTGTAAAAAGAAGGAGCCACGAGTGTGTTCAGCTGTTATATCTGCCAAAGGTCGAAACTTTCATGAATCAAAAGTTTAAAATATGTTTTGGTCAACAGTAAACAGAACTAAAAAATAAAACTAATTTTGCCACATATGAATTGTGTCCTATACAGTGTTGGGGAGTAACAGATTACATGTACCGGGATTACGTAATCAGAGAACAAATTATGAGTAACTGTATTCAGTTACAGTTACTTTGTTGAAATAAATGGATTACAGGGCAGTATTTTCCTGTTTTCAAATTTTGGGCTAAACCAGGACTAAAATCAGGACTAAACCAGGACTAAAGCAGGTCTAAAGCAGGACTAGACCAGGACTAAACCAGGACTAAAACCAGGTCTAAAAGCAAGACTAAAAGCAGGTCTAAAGCAGGACTAAACTCGGACTAAAACCAGATCTAAAAACAGGACTAAACCAGGTCTAAAAGCAGGACTAAAAGCAGGACTAAAGCAGAACTAAAGCAGGTCTAAAGCAGGACTAAACTAAGACTAAAACCAGGTCTAAAAAGCTAAAAGAACTAAAAAGCAGGACTAAACTAGGACTAAAACCAGGTCTAAAAGCAAGACTAAAAGCAGGACTAAAGCAGGTCTAAAGCAGGTCTAAAGCAGGACTAAACTAGGACTAAAACCAGGTCTAAAAACAGGACTAAACCAGGTCTAAAAGCAGGACTAAAGCAGAACTAAAGCAGGTCTAAAAGCAGGACTAAAACTAGGACTAAAACCAGGTCTAAAAAGCAAGACTAAAAGCAGGACTAAAGCAGGTCTAAAAGCAGGACTAAACTAGGACTAAAACCAGGTCTAAAAAACAGGACTAAACCAGGTCTAAAAGCAGGACTAAAGCAGAACTAAAGCAGGTCTAAAGCAGGACTAAACTAAGACTAAAACCAGGTCTAAAAGGACTAAAGACTAAAAGCAGGACTAAAGCAGGTCTAAAGCAGGACTAAACTAGGACTAAAACCAGGTCTAAAAACAGGACTAAACCAGGTCTAAAAGCAGGACTAAAGCAGAACTAAAGCAGGTCTAAAGCAGGACTAAACTAAGACTAAAACCAGGTCTAAAAGCAAGACTAAAAGCAGGACTAAAGCAGGTCTAAAGCAGGACTAAACTAGGACTAAAACCAGGTCTAAAAACAGGACTAAACCAGGTCTAAAAGCAGGACTAAAGCAGAACTAAAGCAGGTCTAAAGCAGGACTAAACTAGGACTAAAACCAGGTCTAAAAGCAAGACTAAAAGCAGGACTAAAGCAGGTCTAAAGCAGGACTAAACTAGGACTAAAACCAGATCTAAAACCAGGACTAAACCAGGTCTAAAAGCAGGACTAAAGCAGAACTAAAGCAGGTCTAAAACGCAGGACTAAACCAGGACTAAACCAGGTCTAAAACACTATGACACTTAACAGTAGGTGAACATAATTGAAGGCAGCAGTGTCTTATATAAAAATCATTTCTCTATCAGGATGTGTTTGCTACATTCATGTCGTTTTAAAAAGCAGGACAATATCAAGTAATCCAAAGTATTCAGATTACGTTACTCACTTTAAGTAACTTAATGGATTACGTTACAAACTACATTTTGGGGTATGTAATCTGTAATCTGTAGGGGAATACATTTTAAAAGTAACACTCCCAACACTAGTTCTATATTACACAAAATTGACATTTGTGATCTTTAAACTATGTAATACACTGTTACCTGATCACAAACAGACATGGAGTTGTTTTTGTTTCATTCACACATGTTTGAGTAACACTTTATTATTAGTCTGTCAAGCTCAAAATGCTCTGGTGCACCTTGTGATGTCAGAACTAGAAATGATCACCAAGCTGAACAGAGTATTTTCAGTTTGAGAGAAGAACTGAGTCTGAATATGCAGGATTTGTGCGTTAAACACGTGCGAATGAAACAAAACACAGCTCCAGGTTTGTTTGTGATGAGGAAACATTATAACACAGATCAGAAAATAGTGTAAAATGAACCTTTAAAGTCCTGAATATGACTTAACGGTGACCCCTTGTGGCTGGAGTTAGTATCTATTTTCAGGAACGTAATGAATCTGCATATACACTAGGATTTAGATTAATTTTTTTCAAACAAATGATGCCATGAGAGCTACTTAACACTGAGAAAAGTGTTTATTACATAGAAAATCAAAAAATATTAGTCACATAACAAGATAGATTTCCAAACACTGACACTAAGACGTATTTTTGAAATGATCCACTCACTTCTTCGACTTGTATGTGGCAGTTTCTTGCTGTAATAACACGTGCATTTCCACTAGGGGGCGGTATAGCGTGGGGTGGGTAAACGGGCATATTAAATGTAGACAAAAATGTGGAACCATTTAAATAAACTAACAAGTGTTCCAGGTTCAGAAGTTTGTGGAAGGCAGGTCCGTCACGTCCTGAAAAAAAAGACACAAAAAAAGTCAGAAGAAGAATCATCAACGTGACGCTAAAAGACGGATGTAACTTTTCTGGTGGAGGGTCCGTCAAATGTTTTTCACCATGGGGATGTTATTTCTTTGTCTGGAATGTTTCACAGTACGGCATTAAACCTTTCTATCGCCATGGAGACCAAACCGGACCAAGTTTCATGTGAGATATGTCAGTTTTTCTAGGTATTTTGAGCTATAAAACCACTTATAATTGAATAAATGTAAAGTAGAGCTGTTTAATGTCACACTGTGGAACATTCTAGGTAAAACAATGACATATCCATAGAGACAAGCAGGTGAAAAAAGTTACACAATGCACCTTTAAGATCTGCTTTCAATTGCAGAAGATTTTACGGCTACTCAAAAGAACCGGACGTTTCTGGATGCATTATTTCATGGAAATAGAAAGTTAAAATCATACTTCAGAACATTATCAACGGAGATTATAGCCTAAGGAACAATATCACCATGGAAACGAGCAGAAAATCATCAATCATATTTAGATAACCCCATGTTCTGTCAATCATTATATCATCTTTGCACTGTTTTTCCTCGCAACCTTTTGATTTAAGTGTGATTTATACGACTATATTTCTATTTCTATATTGTATTTATTTTCTATTTTTGCTACTTGTTTAGAATTTATTATTACCATTTATATTTTTACTCTTTGTTATTATAATATATTGTGATGTGTGAGCTACTGTGTCCAAATAATTTCCCTTGTGGATCAATAAAGTTTGTCTAAGTCTTAAAGGTTGTATGGAGGATTTTTTTTTGTTTCAAGTTGTCAATGATAGCATTATAGAGGTGCAGTAGCCTTGTAATTATGATGACCAAAAAAAAGAGAATAAAAATTCATCAACTCTGGACGTGGTGGGGCTAAACATTTGCCAATAGATAACGACACTGCCTCGTTATCTGTTAGCTGACAGGCTGTCAATCAAACTCCCTACGTTTCTAGTGTAACTGACTTGCCTGCGCCGCCGGTACGTGGTTTACGTACGACTGTCACGCAGTCCACAGACGCAAGACGCACAGACGCTGTTTACTCCACCAACGCAACAGTTCTTAGCGGCTTTTTTTGACCTATATCTTCCTCGCAGTTCGCACAAAGTTTGTTGCAATGGCGACAAGAATCCAGGAGCAGTTCGCCGCAAAAGAAAGTCCCGTTTTTGAGGTCACTGAAAGAAGAAGACAAGGGGAAAAGCAGCGAAGCCAAACTAAGGTGATTCTTGAAGATTCATTCCAGCGATGGCGCAACTGAAGCAGACGCAGGGTCTAAAGACTGACGCACTGGTCCACAAATTACTCCTGGACAGGAAACTTCTGCTTATTATGAAAACGTACTTTATTTCCAAGAGCTAGACAAACGTTTTTCAGGACACGAAAGCGATATCCTATGTCTGAAAACGTAATTTTCAAGGCAAAGAAAGAGTCCGCTTGCTGCTGCGTGTTGTAGCTAGTTCATTCGCACTGAATCTCCGCGCAACCTTCTCTGCACCCCTTTCCTGCTCCTGTCCCCGCTGCCCGATCCGCTCTTCCCCTGCTCCTCACTTCTCCGGGCACGGAATCTCCGCGCACCGCTCCCCTCTCCTCTCTCCTCTCCCTGCTCCGCTCTTTCCCTGCTCCTCACTTCTCGTCCGCGAACGAAATGTCCCGCACCCGCTCCCCCCGCTCCTCACTTCTCCGTCTTGCCTAACCAACACTGTAGTTGTTTACAAGTCATGTGCAGCACCGGCTGTAAACAAACCTGTTTCTGGCGTAAGGAGGAGGAGGGAGGAGGCGTTTCTACGTAGGAGCTGTAGGGGAGGGGGGGGGGTTTCACGCATGCGCAACATTTGAAAAAGGACAAACAGTCGCTGGATTTCTCGTTCCTTGGAAAATCCTCTATACAACCTTTAAGTCTAATTTATAAAACATATACTTACCATGTCCTGATGGTGGCGCTCTCTCTCACACGAACACTGGCAGTGCAGAACAGCGTCGTGAACGGAAGAAAACACGCAGCACTTTGTCACATTCTCGTTGAAGAAGCCGCCGGTCTCCAAGTTATGCACCACTCCGGCTGAAAACAAAACAACCGAATAATGTTTTTCTCAGTTTGTCAGCGAGACAGTTTTCTATTGACAATCTTAACACTTTTTGGCAGTGTTTGCTCATGTGTCACCATGGTAACTGATGGATATTCCGCCATAGATGTACATGTAGAACACCCCCAGTACGGTGTTACTGCAAAGTATCCACTATTGTCCGGTACTGTGAAGCATTTTGGCTGTAAATGTGCTGCATGTGTATAAATAATTGACCATAATCAGTTATTAATGCTATTTCTGATCTGTGTTATAATGTTGTTTCCTCGTCACAAAGAGACATGGGGTTAGAACAGTGCAGCGCGGGACACAGTTTGAAAACTCATTGCGGGAGTGAGCGGTTGGGATGATAAACTGCAGTACCGCAAACTAAATATGAGTGTCAATATATGCCTATCATCAGTGTTGGGGAGTAACAGATTACATGTACCGGAGTTACGTAATCAGAGTACAAATTATGAGTAACTGTATTACGGTTACAGTTACTGTTTCAGTGAGTGGTAATTGGATTACAGTTACTTTGTTGAAATAAATGGATTACACGGCAGTATTTTACAGTTTTCACATTTTGGGCTATTCCCTTTTTTTTTTTGTTTTTTTTTGGTAATTCCACTCATTGGCAGACACTAAACCAGGTCTAAACCAGGACTAAACCAGGACTAAACCATGTCTAAAAAGGACTAAAACCAGGTCTAAACCAGGTCTAAACCCAAGTCCAAACCCAGGTCCAAACCAGTGCTAAACCAGGTCCAAACCAGGTCTAAACTAGGACTAAACCATGTCTAAAAAGGACTAAAACCAGGTCTAAATGAGGTCTAAACCAGGTCTAAACCAGGTCTAAAAGGTCTAAACCAGGTCTAAACCAGGTCTAAACTAGGACTAAAACCAGGTCTAAACCAGGTTTAAAGCCAGGTCTAAAACAGGATTTAACAGGACTAAATCATGCTGCGTGGACCGTGTCTCCTCCTCTTCTATCAATAATATTTTTAATTTGGTTCAGTAAAGTCTGGGCTTTTTATTTTCTTTTAACAGACAAAACATCTTATGTGAAGATTTCCTCATCTTTGCTTCTCTACAGTAAATCAAGTAATCCAAAGTATTCAGATTACGTTACTCACTTTAAGTAATTTAATGGATTACGTTACAAACTACATTTTGGGGTATGTAATCTGTAATCTGTAGGGGAATACATTTTAAAAGTAACACTCCCAACACTGCGTATCATACATCATTTGTGCTGGATATTTTATTTGGCATTAATAAAAACATTTTAAGCAGCATAAACTTGCGGATGTGGTTTAATCTCGCACAACTTTTAGACAATTCCTTTCCTCTTCTTCGTGTTTGATAGATCTTAAACCGGGCGTACACTGCGATTTTTGAGACAATTTTTTACTCATGTAACTGTTTTTGGGACTTTTGTCTTAATCGTGTGTTGTGCTTCGTGTAGTAAACATGGAGCACCGCCTGGAGCAACACCTCACGACCAGCTCCTGATCGGCAGTTGTTGGTTGCAAGAATATCAAACCTGTTTGAAACCCAGTCGCCTCTCGTGAGGGTTTCACACTGTCGAAGTCGTTCGTATCGTGTGAGAACATGAAGCGTGAGCTGTGAACTTTTAAACCCTGCGATTTTGAGCTGGGGCTGAGTGCAACGATTGAAAATAATCCACAGTTTATGTCCAGCATTAAGAAAGAAAGAACGTTCCCATCTTGCGGGATTTGAGGGCGGGAATGAGACAAAATATCGGGACTGGGACTGAAAATTCTGTCCCGCGCAGACCTGAAGTTGTGTTTTGATTCATTCACACGTCAAGCAAACTCTGCATATTTAAGACGAGTTCTTCTCTTAATCTGAAAACACTCCACCTTGTGATGTCATGTGGTAATACAGGAAGTGCTCTGTTACGGCTCGCGGCCTGTCTCCGGCTCCGCATCGCCTGGCGCTCCCCGTTTGTATTACCTTGTGTATCTTCCGTATTTGCATGTCCTGTGTGCTGCCTGCCGTCTGACTGGTGGACCGTGGTTCCGATGCTGTGGACTGGCTCCGACGTCCATTGTGCTGTGGTTGGAGGATTGACGTCCCGTTCCTCCAATCCCTTCCCTACACTTCAATCATCTCGACCAATAAAAGTTTCAGTTCGCCCCTCACATCGATACATGTTAGTTAGTGGTCTCTCTGTGATATCGTAAAGTGTGTTTATTTTACTATCATTTTAGTTTTGCCAGTTTGGCTCGGCCCTTGGGCAGTTGTTTTTTTTTGTTGCCGTTAGCTACCTTAGTTTAGGAGTGGTTTAGTTAACTTTGGGGAATTCAGATTTTTTTTTTCAAATGTACAACGTTTTATTTTGTTAATTGTACTTACCCACATCACTTTATAAAAAACGTTTACTTTACATCATATCTGGTTTGTGTTACTTTCCTTTGTCCCTAGCACTGGGTTGTAACATGCTCCATTGTGTTTTTAAATTCCTTACACCTTCATTAGAATCATTTGGAACATTTCAGCCCTGGAATTGCCAATTTTTCACTGAACAAATGGCAAAAGGAGATGTTAACTTGAAAACTACCACTAGGATTACTCAAACGTGTGTGAATGAAACAAAACACAACTCCAGGTCTATGTTTGAGAACGAAACACTATAACATTTCTTAAAGCTCAAGTCCGTTGTGCATAATATAGGACCTTTAATGTAAATTAGATGAAGGATCCTCAAAATAACTCACGTTGGCAGTTGGTCAGCACCACGTCAATCCCGATTTCCCCGTAGTCCTTTTTGATCTGAAACAATATAATAAGGTCAATACTCACTTAAAGATCAGATGGCATAAGACGTTTCAAATCCAAGTTGTGAATATAATTAGGGGTGTCACATTATCGCGTTAATTGCGATTAATTAATTACAGTCATATTTAGCGCGTTATGTTTTTTAATTGTGTTAATCTCATTTTTAATCTGTAACTTTACTGTTTCTGTATGCGAGTTGATTTATTATAAAATCTGTTTTTATGTGTTGTTGGGACAATAACACACACTTTACAGCAAACAGTTTCTTATTCATGGAGACTTGGGCTCAACAGCCAGTTTGGAGAGATTTGTTAAACAATAAATGACTTTAGATCTGCCACAATAATGTAATAATGAATTTAAATGAAAATACCTCAAATTGAAGCTTTTCTCAACAATTTTAGGTGAGATTAAAAAGAGATTAATTAGATTAATTAATTACAGATCATAATTAATTAATCTCTCAATTTTTTTAATCGCATGACAGCACTAAATATAAAACAGCTGCAAAGGGGATAACAGAAAGTAAGTAAAGTACATTTTTGAGGGTCTTGACTGCGACCATATCCAGGAAGTTCACGGGACCCATATCCAGGACGATGGACCTGGGTAAAGACGGGTCTCTGTCCGGTTCTACGTCGATCACCGCCACCCCCTTCATCTCCGTGTGCTCCCCGTCCACCTGGAGAGAGGAAAGAACGCCAACAAAAGGCATCAAGATAAATGAAAGGTCCTATAATACACAAACATTACTCTTGTGAGCTTTTAGTCATGTTGGACTCTCCTTTAGTATTAGTCTGTCTACATCTCCAAAGCCCAAAATACTCTGTTCCACTTGTGATGTTTTTGATGAGGAAACAACATTCTAACATAGATCAGCCTAATATTAAGAACTCGATTTTCATAATATTTTTAAGATTTTTTAAGATTTTCCCTGTACATCTAGAATACATTATTTGAAAGTAGGACAGTAAGGACTTAAATGATACTAAATCGATTTTTTTTTGTTTTGTTTTTTGAGCTTTTGACCTTGTAATAATGTTGTTCTTTCATCAAAAACATAGCTGAGGTTTTTTTTGGATTCATTCACCCTTTTTTCATTAATCCTGTTTACAAGTTTGTCTTGCTCTGAGTCAAAAAAAAAAAAAAAGCTTCCTGAATTGTGACGTCATAGGTAAAGATCCTGCATTGTTGTTGTTAAATTGCGATCATTAATCTACCTGCTTCAGTTAGTTATGTGGGTTGAGTTGCTTAAATAGCTTTGCTTTAGTTTTTTTCATGGTTCAGTCCCACATCAAATCTCAATATTGAAAACACAACAGATATGTTTTCTATACGGATTATTTTAAATTCTAAAACATAAAATACCTAAGCAAAGATGCTCAAGAGCCTGTTTAAAGGTCAATAACTATAAAACAACATTTGTGTCCTTTAATGGTAATATAATAACAGACAATTCTATGGTGTTCAAAAGGTGTCAAAAGTTCTGAACTCACTTTTGAACTATGACAGAGAAACATATCTCGTAGGAAGTTGCCTCCACACCTTTCACGTCAATTCAAATGTTTTTCTTTTTTTCTTAAACACCTTCTGACCTGCACATCTCCGTTCTCCTTGGCCAGCTTCTTGGCCTCTTTCTGGGCTTTCTTCAGCTGTTTTTTCTCCACCCTCTGTCGCTTGGCCTCGAGTTTCCTTTTGACCGACAAGATCTTGGTGATGTCAATCCCGGTCTGGAAAAAAATTAATAAAAAAATACATTCATAAAAAGACAAGACAATAAATATTTAAATATATATTACAAAGTATCCCCAGGTTTGATTACCCCAAATTCAAGACATTTTAAAGACCTTTTTAAGACAACTTAAATGAAAATTAAGACCAACATCGCAGCCATTATGTGAGTGAAAAACACCAGATCTAATTCTAATCATGACCAACCAACTACTATGTCTAGAATCTAAGAGCCACTGTGGATTAAACTCACACTTCCCCATGATCCATCCAACGTCTTCCTCCACTCTACTTGTTTACTCATTGCTGCCGGCGCCAGAAACCAAAGTATTGTTTGTGCATCCTCCAAATTAGACGTTTATTTATGTTATGTGATTTCACCTTGTTGTTTTTTTTCCCTCCCTCTATTTAACATTTTACTGCAGCCTCATTGAGTATAGAAAAAAAAAGAAATTTAAGACCTTTGTAAAAAAAAAAGTAAGACTTGGACAACATAATTTAAGACTTTTTAAGGCCTTAATTTGGGAACATGAAATTTAAGATCTTTTTAAGACCACTTCTGTCGCTTGTTTCCATTCATGTTATGATTTGCTTGTATGTATGATTTCTCTCTACAGGGTTCCCACGGCCATGGAAATCCTGGAAAAGTCATGGAAATTGAGAATGTAAGTTTCCAGACCTGGGAAAGTTCTGGAAATTTGTAAATCCAATGAAAGTTTTGGAAATGTCATGGAATTTTAGTATCTTTTTCACACAACTACAGTGTTCTGTTAAGTTTTCATTAGACTATTATGATTATTTCTGAACGTCTGCACCTTTTGTTTAAAAGAGACGACAATAAATGCACTGACAGGATTTTGAATGTTAAAAAACTATAAAACCAAACCATAAGGTGAGTGGAAAGAGTTAACATTTCATATTTCAAAAAGTCTCAAGTAGGGCTATGTTTATATGACGATGGTCTGAACAGAAGACGCAAAAGTGGTGTCGCGTCTTCACTTTTTATTCTGTGTTTATAGGAGTGTTTTCGGGAGGAAAACATTCCCGAAAAGTATGATTGATCGATCCATCAATCCATCCATCTATTCATCTATCATCTATCTATCTATCTATCTATCTATCTATCTATCTATCTATCTATCTATCTATCTATCTATCTATCTATCTATCTATCACTTATTCAACTGTATTTGTTTATATTGTTGAAAAATACACTGAGAAACACCTCTCCACAGATCTGACCTGTAACTGTAACATTTACTCTGACATTGTGGAACATTCCCGTAACCTTCCAGCTCCACGGAGACGAGCAGGCGGCGAATCCTTCACCGCGTTTGATTCAGAAACTACACTTTGTCATTGTAGTAGTAAAAAAAACAACAAAACAGATCTATCATCTATCATCCATCTATTCATCCATCCATCTATCTATCCATCCATCCATCCATCTATCCATCCATCTATTCATCTATCATCCATCTATTCATCTATCATCCATCTATCCATCCATCCATCTATCTATCTATCTATCCATCTATCATCCATCTATCCATCTATCATCCATCTATCTATCATCTATCTATCTATCTATCTATCTATCTATCTATCTATCTATCTATCTATCTATCTATCTATCTATCTATCTATCTATCTATCTATCTATCTATCTATCTATCTATCTATCTATCTATCTATCTATCTATCTATCTATCTATCTATCTATCTATCTATCTATCTATCATCCATCCATCCATATCCATCTATCAATCTATCATCCATCCATCCATCTATCTATCTATCTATCTATCTATCTATCTATCTATCTATCTATCTATCTATCTATCTATCTATCTATCTATCTATCTATCTATCTATCCATCTATCATCCATCCATCCATCTATCATCCATCTATCATATCTATCTATCTATCTATCTATCTATCTATCTATCTATCTATCTATCTATCTATCTATCTATCTATCTATCTATCTATCTATCTATCTATCTATCTATCTATCTATCTATCTATCCATCTATCCATCCATCCATCCATCCATCCATCTATTCATCTATCATCCATCTATCCATCTATCTATCCATCCATCCATCCATCTATCCATCTATCCATCCATCCATCTATTCATCCATCTATTCTTCCATCTACCCATCCATCTATCCATCCATCCATCCATCCATCCATCCATCTATCCATCTATCCATCCATCTATTCATCTATCATCCATCTATCTATCATCCATCCATCTATCTATCCATCTATCCATCCATCCATCTATCTATCCATCTATCCATCTATCCATCCATCTATCCATCTATTCATCTATCATCCATCTATCCATCCATCCATCATCCATCTATCATCATATCCATCTATCATCCATCCATCCATCTATCTATCCATCTATCCATCCATCCATCATCCATCCATCCATCATCCATCCATCTATCCATCTATCATCCATCTATCCATCCATCCATCTATCCATCTATCCATCCATCTATCAATCCATCTGTCCATCCATCTATTCATCTATCATCCATCTATCCATCCATCTATCCATCTATTCATCTATCATCCATCTATCCATCCGTCCATCTATCCATCCATCCATCCATCTATCCATCTATTCATCTATCATCTATCTATCTATCTATCTATCTATCTATCTATCTATCTATCTATCTATCTATCTATCTATCTATCTATCTATCTATCTATCTATCTATCTATCTATCTATCACTTAGAAGCACCTCTCCACAGATCTGACCTGTAACTGTAACATTTACTCTGACATTGTGGAACATTCCCGTAACCTTCCAGCTCCACGGAGACGAGCAGGCGGCGAATCCTTCACCGCGTTTGATTCAGAAATTACACTTTGTCATTGTAGTAGTAAAAAAAAAACAAAAAAAAACAAAAAACCAACAGAGACCCCAGTGACAGTCCTTCAAAAAACTTCACTAATGGGGTTTTGTACTGATTCAAAAATTGCACCGTGCCGAATCTGGCAAATAGAACTGTCAGTCAAAAACTAAATGAACACTGAAACCCTTTTCGCTTCCGAGAGTAAAAATAAAAAAAAACAACAAAAAAATCAGCTTTCATTCGACGACACCGCACGTATAATTATCGCCCGTGTCTCCGCTCTGATTGGCCGCGGTTCACCTTTTTGTGGCGTCGTCCTCGGAAACGAAAAAAGTGGGAGGAGTCTGGCGCGGAGAAGTGACAGAAGAACAAAGTGTGTCAGCGTGTGAAAGAGGAAGATAATTACAGACGAAGTGACAGGAAGTCGGAGCACAATCGATTGGAATGGAATAGCGGAAAAAGTGAGCTACAAGAAGCAAAAACGAACTCAGATTGAATTGTTTTAATGGTTCTAGTCGACTGATCTTTACCCCAGAACCCTTCCTAAAAACATGATATATTTAAAGGTCCTATATTACACAAAAACACCAGATCTAATTCTAATCATGACCAACCAACTACTATATCTCAAATCTAAGAGCCACTGTGGATTAAACTCACACTTCCCCATGATCCATCCAACGTCTTCCTCCACTCGACTGATCGTTTACTCGTTGCCGCCGGCGCCAGAAACCAAAGTATTGTTTGTGCATCCTCCAAATTAGACGTTTATTTATGTTATGTGATTTCCAGTGTCGGGGAGTAACAGATTACATGTACAGGAGTTACGTAATCAGAGTACAAATTATGAGTAACTGTATTCAGTTACAGATTGGATTACAGTTACTTTGTTGAAATAAATGGATTACACGGAGGTATTTTCCTGTTTTCACATTTTGGGCTAAATCCCACTTTAAATTCTACTAAAACCAAGATTGAACCAGAACTGAACCCAGGTCTAAACCAGGACTAAAACCAGGTCTAACCTAGATCTGAACCAGGTCTAAACCAGGTCTAAACCAGGACTAAACCAGGACTAAAGCAGGGATAAAACCAGGTCTAAACTAGATCTAAACCAGGTCTAAAACCAGGACTAAACCAGGACTAAACCAGGTCTAAAACCAGGACTAAACCAGGACTAAACCAGGTCTAAACCAGGACTAAAACCAGGTCTAACCTAGATCTGAACCAGGTCTAAACCAGGTCTAAACCAGGACTAAACCAGGACTAAAGCAGGGATAAAACCAGGTCTAAACTAAATCTAAACCAGGTCTAAACTAAATCTAAACCAGGACTAAACCAGGTCTAAACCAGGTCTAAACCAAGACTAAAACCAGGGCTAAAACCAGGTCTAAACTAGATCTAAACCAGATCTAAACCAGGTCTAAACTAGATCTAAACCAGTACTAAAACAGGATTTAACAGGATGAAACCATTCTATCAATAATATTTTTAATACGGTTAAGTAAAGTCTGGGCTTTTTATTTTCTTTTAGCAGATAAAACATCTTATGTGAAGATTTCCGAGTCTTTGCTTCTCTACAGAAAATCAAGTAATCCAAAGTAATTTTAAGTAATTTAATGGATTACGTTACAAACTACATTTTGGTGTATGTAATCTGTAATCTGTAGGGGATTACATTTTAAAAGTCACCTTCCCAATACTGGTGATTTCACATTGTTGTTTTTTTCCCTCCCTCTATTTAACATTGCTCTGCAGCCTCATTGAGTATAGAAAAAAAAAGAAACTTAAGACCTTTGTAAAAAAAAAAAAAGTAAGACTTGGACAACATAATTTAAGACTTTTTAAGACCTTAATTTAGGAACACGAAATTTAAGATCTTTTTAAGACTTTTACGACCCCGCGGTTACTCTGGATTAATTAAAGGTGCACCACTTCTGTCACTTGCTTATCTCCATTCATGTTATGATTTGCCTGTATGTAGTATAACATTTCTCTCTACAGGGTTCCCACAGCCATGGAAATCCTGGAAAAGTCATGGAAATTGAGAATGTAAGTTTCCAGACCTGGGAAAGTTATGGAATTTTGTAAATTCAATGAAAGTTTTGGGAAAGTCATGGAATTTTAGTATCTTTTTCACACAACTACAGTGTTCTGTTAAGTTTTCATTAGACTATTATGATTATTTCTGAACGTCTGCACCTTTTGTTTAAAAGAGACGACAATAAATGCACTGACAGGATTTTGAATGTTAAAAAACTATAAAACCAAACCATAAGGTGAGTGGAAAGAGTTAACATTTCATATTTCAAAAAGTCTCAAGTAGGGCTATGTTTATATGACGATGGTCTGAACAGAAGACGCAAAAGTGGTGTCGCGTCTTCACTTTTTATTCCGTGTTTATACGAGTGTTTTCGGGAGGAAATCTGCGCGCATACGGTGACGCAAAAATGTGTGGAATTCGATTGGACATACATGCCAGGCGGCTCGGTGGTGACGCTCGGTGGTGATGTACGTGATGTAAACTCGTATGCGACGTGAGCAGATGTGACCAGAGTTTTGCGTCTTGGGCAGTGTAGACAGAAACACTACGGCAGTTTCAGATTTTTGCATTTTTAAACCCCAAAAACGCTGTTACCGTCTACATAAAAGGCACTTCCGATAAAATATTTTGTCGTTTTTGCCCGCAAGTGTTCTCGTGTAAACAGGCCCTAAGTCTTAAGCCTTTGACCTCAAGTCTGAGTCAAGTCAAATACAGGCAAGTCCAAGTCAAGTCTTGAGTCACTGGCCCATAATTCCAAGTCAAGTCCAAATCGTCTGCTTTGAGCTTCAAGTCATTTCAAGTCTTTAAACCTAAGTACCAAGTATAGCTTTGATTTTTGCCATTTATATGAATTTTAAGATAAACTACTTTAAGAAGTCATGGTATATTTATATAAGAGTATTTATAAAAGAGATGTAGAAATGCAAATGTTTCCTTTTGAAATGTCTTTAAATGTCAAGATCTTAGTGCGAATCATTATGGTCAGAATTGTAAGCCTTCTATAGTCACAGGGCTCAAGTTCCAAGTCAGTGAGCTTCAAGTCTAAGGGCCTGTTTACACGACAACGCTTGCGGGTAAAAACAACAAAATATTTTATCGGAAGTGCCTTTCGTTTAGACGGTGATGGTGTTTTTGGGGCTTAAAAACGCAAAAATCTGAAACCATCTCCAGAGTGGAAAAGTTGAATACGCTCCGCCGTAGCGTTTCCGTCTACACTGCCCAAGACGCAAAACTCTGGTCAGATCTGTTCACGTCACGTACACGTTTACGTCACATACATCACCACCGAGCGTCACCGCCAAGCCGCCCAATCGAATTCCACACACTTTTGCGTCACCGTATCCACGCAGATTTCCTCCCGAAAACTGCTCGTCTAAATGCAAAATAAAAAGTGAAGACGCGACGCCACTTTTGCGTCTTCTGTTCAGACCGTCAACATATAAACGTAGCCCAAATCGAATCCCATGTCTTCGTCTATTTTAACAAGTCAAGTCTCAAGTCCTAAAAAAAAGTCATGACTCGAGTCCAAGTCATGACATGCAAGTCCCAACCTCATGTTAGAATGTTGCTACTTCCTGAAAAACAGACCTGGAGTTGTGTTTTGTTTCATTCACACATGTTTGAGTATCTTTATTATTAGTCTGTTTACATCTCCAAACCTCAAAATGCTCTGTTCCACCTTGTGATGTCATGTCGTGGTGTAGTTTTCAAGTTAACAGCAACTTTTCACCTTTTGTTTAGAAGAGATTAACAATTCCGGGACTGAAAATGGGTCCTTTAAGGGGGCTCTGTGTAACTTTTCTGGAGTTCAGCACCTGCTTGTCTGCATGGAGGATTTCTTTGCTTGTAAAGTTTTAAAGTCAAACCCAAAATTTCAACAATCTCCACGGAAACAAGCGGGCGACAACATCACGAGTCACAAGTCAAATCTACGGAAAAGATCTGACAGGACGAAGGTTTTTCAACGACAGAGCAACATTTTGTGAAACTAGATGAATGCAAAAAAGAAATGTTTAAGATGATGTGGACCGTCGCCATGGAAACAAGTAGGCGACGCCATCAGGCCACGTTACAGGTCAGCTCTATGGAGAGGCTGACCCCCATTCACAGTAAAGAACACACGCGTTTGCAAGATATTTTAGAGCAATAGAAACATGTGTACACAGAAATTGAATAAATGCAGAATAGTAAAGTTGAAGTAAAGGTATACTGTGGAACAATTACAAGCAAAGCAGGAGCATCTCCATGGAAACAAGCAGGTAACAGACACTCCACCAGAACCTCACCTTTCATAGGTTTGGGGTTCACTACATTACTGTGACTACTTCTGATCATACCACTGGTTATCACACACTGTTGTAAGTAATGTAATGTACTGTAGTTTCTCACTGTGATAAAGTTCGAGGGAGACTTTACCTTGCGTCCCAGAGCTTCCTGGTACATCTCTGCGTTGGCAAAGTACAGAGTGGCAGAGGAACGGAAAACCACCACGTCTGGCACCGCCTTCACCTGAAAATAACCAAAGAATAACTGTCTATAACTCAAGGATCTACAACCTTTTTCCTCCCTTACACTGCAAAAATCAATATCTAGATAAGTTAAAATGACTTAAATTAAGAACATTTTGCTTTATTTGAGTCGATTCAACTTGAAGAGTGTTTTTCTTAATTCAAGCAACATTCGATTTTGTTTATTTTAAGTGCAAAAAGTTGTTGTTTTTCTTATCTTACGTGCAGCAAGATAAATTTTTGTATTTTAAAGGTTGTATAGAGGATTTTTTTAAGGGAAGAGAAATACAGCGACAGTCCTTGTGCGCGTTCAGAATTACTGTTGAAGTTTCCTGTCTAGAAGTAATTCAGCGACCGACGCGTCAGTTTTTAGACCCTTCGTCTGCTTCGGTCGCGCCATCGCTGGACGAGATCTCCAAGAATCACCTCAGTTTGGCTTTGCTCCTTTTCCTCTTCTTTTCTTCTTTCAGCGACCTCAAAAACGGACTTTTTTTTGCGGCGAACCGGTCGTGGATTCTCGTTCGCCGTCGCGACAAACTTTGTGCGAAATGCGAGGAAGCGACAGTTCGAAAAAGCCTCTAAGAACCGCTGCGTAAACCACGTAATCCCCGCGCTCCGACGAGTCAGTTATACTAGGGAGTTTGATTGACAACCTAACAGCCAATAGAAAATGAGGGAGCCTCGTTTTCTATTGGCTGATGTTTATCTGGCCTCACTACGTCCACAGTTGATAGATTTTCATTATTTTTTTTTTGGTCATCATAATTACAAAGCTGCTGCGTCTCTATAATGGTATTTTAATCTTTGACTGACAGTTTGAAACAAAAAAAAAATCCTCCATACAACCTTTAAGTACAAAAAGTCTTGATCCACTGGCAGATAATTTTACTTATCAAGTGAAATTTACTCAAACTTTGTTAATTCAAGGGATCTTAACTTGGCTAGATTTCAGTTTTTCCAGTGTAACAAACAAAAATGCAAGACGGATACTCATTTTAGCACCTGCAAGAAACAGTAAACATAAGAGCCACGAGGATGAAACATAAACCGTTAGGGTAAATGGTCACATTTTTATACAGCGCTTTTCCACCTTTAAGGCACTCAAAGCGCTTCACATCAAGAAACCACTAACACTTTCACACACCAGTGTACGCAGACACTGAGGTGAGGTGGGTGAAGTGTCTTGCCCATGGACACAGTGGCAGCATTTATCTTAGTGTACAAAGTTAGCCATCAGATACATTTACTGTGGTGATAGGCATTTAATTCATCAAATTTTTATTACCCAGCACGGTGTACACGCATCAAGAATCTCAGACTTCCGGTCATTGCGCAGTTCATACTGGGAAGGATTTTCTGAAAAAGTGAGCATCAAACCTCCATGTTTGATTTTACAGTGGGAAGCATCTATTGACAAAGTCGATCTTTTCAAGTCTTTTGAACCATGTTGCTTTAGTTTCTGGTTCTGATATTGTCATATTTTAGTTTTGGGATTCAGACATCGTTAATTATGTGGTTGTTGGATCCCAACAGCGGAAAACGGCTCGATAAATTTGTTTGCGAACTCCATAAATACAAAAGTGAATCAGATGTGTGTGACTGTAAACCTCTGTTCAAACTGTTTCTCTTCCCAACGGAATTGAAAAACAGTAAAAGGCAAAGGCGATGGGCAGGATCGATCCACAGGAAGGATGAAAAAGGAAACCTTTCACTGCCTAAATCATCCCGAGTTTGCAGCGAACATTTTGTATGTGGAGCGACAACAAAGCAGGATCCTGTTTGTTAAGCGAGAGGTGCAGAAGACAAACAGACTGAGCTGCACTTTCTTGTTCTTGTAGTTTCACAGCAACATCACGTCTTGGTCTCTTTGCAGTGGAAGGTGTTTCTTGGTGAACAGCTGGTGCCTTTCACTTTGACGTTGACTTTTTAAACTCGTGACCAAGACTGAGTGAGGGATCTGGGTTTTGCTTTGATGGCTCCACATACAAAATGTTCGCTGCAAACTCGGGATGATTTAAGCCACAGGTGTCAAACATAAGGCCCAGGGGCCAGATCCGGCCCTCCAAGACCTTTAATCTGGCCCTCGGCTGTTTTTCTACTAAAATATACATTACATTACATTTTCTATTAAAATATTGTTAATTTTCTGTGGTGTTTATCACAGCAGCGGCTCCAGCGTCTCTGTACGTGGCCCCTCCCACCAGAGCAGCACAAATGAAGACTTGTCTCTTTCCAAACGCTCTTAAAGGACGATCGTTTTGACTGTTGACCGTGACACCCTCATCAGAAAAATGTCCAACATGAGAAAAGTGGAGCCGAGTGCAGGATTTTACAACAAAAAATGTACTTATTCCTGTTTACATCCAAGTTCATGTTAAAACTTTGTGTTGAAATTGCATTTTTCTTAAAGTTTCAGGTTGTTCATAATATTATAATATTTTGTAAAAGAAAGAGTTCATCAATTAAAAAAGATTTCTGTAATAGATTTGTGTTTCTCTGCACAAATATTTGAACTTATTGTTATTTTTGGGGTTTATATGACATCAGTTTTCTGATCCGGCCCCTTTGGGATCAAAGTCGGTTGGATACGGCCCCCGGACCAAAATGAGTTTGACACTCCTGATTTGGGCAGTCAAAGATTACCTTTATCGTCCTTCCCGTGGATCAATACTGCCCATCACCTTCGCCTTTCACTATTTTTAAATTCTGATTTGAAGGGAAATAGTTTAAACAGAGGTTTGCAGTCACACACATCTGATTCCCTTTTCGCATTTATGGAGTTCGCAAACCAATTTCTCGAGCCGTTTTCCGCTGTTAGGATCCAACAACCACATAATTAACGATGTCCGAATCCCAAAACTAAAATATGACAATATCAAAACCAGAAACAAAAGTGATATGGTTCAAAAGACTAGAAAAGATCGACTTTGACAATAGACACATCCCACTGTAAAAACAAACATGTCGGTTTGATGCTCACTTTTTCGGAAAATCCTTCCCAGTATGAATTGCACGATGACCAGAAGTCTGAGATTCTTGATGCATCTATTCACAGTATTTCATTCAGAAATCACCTTAATCTCCCCACAGCTCTAAGAATTAAAAAAAAACCAAAAAACATTTGAGTCTTAGGTATAGGCTGTGATGAACCAGGACCTTTCAAAGTTAAAGACCGATCTTTGTGTCCTTAGGCCTAGATTTAAATATGATTACAAAATTATAGGTATGACAGATTACATTACATATAATTACACCGCAATGAAGCCATAATTATACATGAACTAAACCACAAGAAAACTCATTAGGCAGCAGCTAGAATGTAAACACTGTAAACGGTATTTACACTTTACTCAATAATTATGGGGTTAATAAAATGTGATACCCTGTGGTTTATTTAAGATCCTGTTATTAGTACAGTGTAGGTTTTGTTTATAGGCGCTTACCTGAGTTTTACTGTCTTTAAATGTGAAAAAGAATGAATCAATTAAAAAAAAAAAAGTTTGCAATGGTCCAAAGACAAAAACAAGACCACTGCAAGACCAACTAGAATGCTGACACACACTTTCTAATTATCGGATTATACAATACAATGTAGACAAATTTTGATCAAATATGGAAGAAAAATCCGGTACAGGGTCTTTGATTACAGATACGTAGCTGAAATGAAAGAGGATGTCATGTGTTTCTTGTTTTTACCTCTTCGTAGCTGTCCAGAGGTTTGTAGACGTCTGTGTCTGGGATCTGCCCCAACAGAGAGTACGTCGGACTGAAACAAAAACACATATGAATGACTTTATAAATGCAAATGGGTCCAGTCAAGTGGGAAAAAACGGAGGGAAACAGGGGCAGATTTTTTACATTCAAATGTCTCTTATTCAGAAACTAGAGGGACTATTGAAATAAGTAAAGTATCAGAATGTAGGAAAGAGTTACACTCCAACAGGGTCAAGTTAAACCTGTGATATTCTTTCAAGTTGTTGACAAAAAATTAAAAAACTCATGTCGGTAACGGAGGGAATGAAATATGCAGCACTTTTTGGGCAATAAATACAAACAGTGATAACTCTTGGTTCTCACTTACATATCCTTAACAAACTGGTTTGAATATTTGCTTCATATAGTTTTCTACCATATGGTCCAAGATTAGGTTGAAAAAACTTTTTGAGTCATGAGATTTTTTATTAAGAAAGGTCATGGTAACGGAGGGAAAAGTAATGGAGGGAAAATTGTGCAAACAAGTAGAAGGTGCATGATTTTACATAATTTGTCAACTTTTTTCTTCCGAATACTTTAATATTACTTCAAAATGAAAGGAAACTATTTCTATAAAATATGTCAGCCTTTCTAAGCAAATTTTTATCACTTTAAATAATTTTTTTTTGAAAAATCATGTCCCTTCATCAACAGTTCAAAGATGGAATAACACAAGATATGATGAAATACATCCATTTATTTACATGATTTTCAGGTCTTTGAAATTTGGGAAATATTTTTTGTTCCATGTTTCATACATGGTCTGTTTAAAACGTATGGAACTTTAGAACCAAAACTGGTACAGAAAAAAGGTCAACAGTTTCATAAACTAGAGTACATATGTATCTGTTCAATATATTTTTATATCAGATGCATTAACTTGAATTTTTGGCCTTGTTGTTTACTTCTGCTTGACTGGGCCCTAATAAGAGTGTGTAAAAACAGCGTCGTTCTTACAGCTGAGTCCTGAAGATGACCGTGAGCAGAGCGAAGGCGATGGAAGCAGCCAGCCCGATGTCAGGGTTCAGCAGGATGGTCAGTATAAACGTGACTATCCAGATCACCTGCACACACAAAGCTCAAATAAGATATTCATAATAAAACAAACAAATCAAGACTTGATCACGTCTGACCTCACACAGCAAGATGGATTATCATGATTTTTGACAGTTCACAGACTCACGAGAATCCATCTTGGCACATTCTCAAAGTAAGACTTATTGGGTAAACAATGAATCACAGAGCAACATTCAGGTTTGTGTGGAAGCCAAAGGCAAAGCGCCCAAAGGAACCAAAACAAACATGGTGACGTACTTCTTTTTTAGCGTCGATGTGGACGATCTTATTTGCAGTGTTGGGAGTGTTACTTTTAAAATGTTTTCCCCTACAGATTACAGATTACATATACCCCAAAATGTAGTTTGTAACGGAATCCATTAAATTACTTTAAGTGAGTAACGTAATCTGAATACTTTGGATTACTTGATATTGTCATGTTTTTTAAAACGACATGAATGTAACAACCACATCCTGAAAATTCTTGTTTGTTCTCTTCAAATTCTGTGTTGAGCTCAAGTCTAGATGAATAAGCAACTGTTTGTTGTAGAGAAGCAAAGACCAGGAAATCTTAACATGAGATGTTTTGTTTTGTTTTATCTGCTAAAAGAAAATAAAAAGTCCAGTCTTTACTTAAGCATATAAAAAATATTATTGATAGAGAAATGATTTGCTATATAAGATCACTGCTGCTTTAAATTATGTTCACCTACTGTTAGTGTCATATTGTTTAGTCCTGCTTTTAGTCCTGGTTTAGTCCTGGTTTAGTCCTGGTTTTAGTCCTGGTTTAGTCCTGGTTTTAGTCCTGGTTTAGTCCTGGTTTTAGTCCTGGTTTAGTCCTGGTTTTAGTCCTGGTTTTAGTCCTGGTTTAGTCCTGGTTTTAGTCCTGGTTTAGTCCTGGTTTAGTCCTGGTTTTAGTCCTGGTTTAGTCCTGGTTTAGTCCTGGTTTTAGTCCTGGTTTAGTCCTGGTTTAGTCCTGGTTTAGTCCTGGTTTAGTCCTGGTTTTAGTCCTGGTTTTAGTCCTGGTTTTAGTCCTGGTTTTAGTCCTGGTTTAGCCCAAAATGTGAAAACAGGAAAATACCGCCCTGTAATCCATTTATTTCAACAAAGTAACTGTAATCCAATTACCACTCATTGAAACAGTAACTGTAACTGAATACAGTTACTGGCAGAAGGCAAGAGCTTTGTGCATTTGTGGACAGGGAAGATGTCAGTGCTTTTCTCTCAGTTGGATTTAACAAAAGTTGTATTTTTCGTCTTGTTCCTCTGTTGTGATAACCTGATATATCAGACCTGACCTCACAGCATCACGATTTGTTCACTTGGCAGCAGGTTGGTACTTTTTTAATTTAACCAATCGCTGCTCTTTGGTTGTGACATATGGAATGCGCCGCTAACGGGGCTAACTGGTATATTAAAGGTTGTATGGAGGATTTTTTTTTAGCTTCAAATTGTCAGTGAAAGATAAAATACCATTACAGAGACGCAGCAGCCTTGTAATTATGATGACCAAAAAAAAAAGAACGAAAATCTATCAACTGTGGACGTGTTGAGGCCAGATAAACATCAGCCAATAGAAAACGAGGCTCCCTCATTTTCTATTGGCTGTTAGATTGTCAATCAAACTCCCTAGTGTAACTGACTCGTCGGAGCGCGGGGATTACGTGGTTTACGCATCTTAGAGGCATTTTCGAACTGTCGCTTCCTCGCATTTTGCACAAAGTTTGTCGCGACGGCGGACGAAAATCCACGACCGGTTCGCCGCAAAAGAAAGTCCGTTTTTGAGGTCGCTGAAAGAAGAAGAGAAGGGGAAAAGTAGCAAAGCCAAACTGAGGTGATTCTTGGAGATCTCGTCCAGCGATGGCGCGACCGAAGCAGACGAAGAGTCTAAAAACTGACGCGTCGGTCGCTGAATTACTTCTAGACAGGAAACTTCAACAGTAATTCTGAATGCGCACAAGAACTGTCGCTGTATTTCTCTTCCCTTAAAAAAATCCTCTATACAACCTTTAAGCTTTTCCCAAATCCTGTAGGAAGAAGGGAAATAATGTCTTTCCCCTTGATAAAATTCACCAAACATTCTTTTTGTTCCTGCTTTAAATTCTCAATCTCGGGAATCGTTGCCAACACACAATGTATGGCTTTGTCTACATCCATCTCGGCCGCTTTATTTACTGTTGTGCTGTATCACAGAAGGGACCCAGACAGACGCTCGAGTTTGATGTCATGGCTTCACAGCTCTTTGCTGATTGGTGGTCTACAACTTCCGGGATTCTTTCAAACTGTCTAATGTAGGGGTGTCCAAACATTTTTCATCAAGTGCCACATATCTAAACACAGACGAAGCAGAGGGTCGATCAAGGACTGTAGACTGGTGCTCAGTACAGGGAATAATTGAAATATGTGCATGTTGAACACGTTAGAATGAGCCATCAGTCTTTATTCGTGCTAAGATCCTTAAAATCACAGACGAAATACTAAATATTGGCTTTATCAAGGTAGATTTTCAAAAAAACTTGCAGTAATTTTTTTTTTTTTTAAACTGATACAAGGTCATTTGGGCCAATTCACCTGGAAGCCTGAGGGCCAAGAAAAATTTGTCTGAGGGCCGCATTTGTCCCCCGGGCCATAGTTTGGACATGCCTGGTCTAGTGTATTCCAATTCCTGACCTCGTCGCTGGAGAGAAATAAAATTGAGCGGAGGAACTTTGTGGCCCCAGCCTGGCTACTGCTGTGATGCTTCGGCCAATCAGATTCAAAAAGTCTTGCGTTTGTGTTTTTTGCCGTCCCAGACTGAGAATGTGTAGAACTCAGAAGAAAATCAGGTACAGCACCTTAAAACTAAAAAACTGACCAGTCTCAACCAGTAAAAGTCCAATCAGCAGAATTTAAAACCTCAGACGCACAGATCAGTCTGGTATGAGCCATGTCCCTTCACCACAACATTCAACACACTTGTCACGCTGTTGCTTTTTCCCTTTGGTACAATTGTGTTTATCACAGTCGTTTGTTTTATTCGTACTGTGGTGGATCCCTCTGCCACCGCTCCATAGTGTCAGTATTATTTAATTTTCATTATTATTTACATTAAGTTAATGACACTACACATAATTTAATTCCGTTATTTAGACTTATGTTCTAATTTGAGTGCACACATTTTAGTTAATATAAGTCTAATTTACTTACACTTGTTCTTTTTGTTTTTTTGAGCACCGGACGGAGGACCCTGGGAGAGACCATCAGGACTCAACAAAGGGGGGGAGCACTATTTAGTTTGTTTTATTAAGTTAATTTGTTTAGTTTGTGTTAAGGTCACATTATTATCACTTATTATTTTCTGTGTTATAATTATTTGCTTTTTTGTTACTTTGATTAAGTTATTGGTTTAGTTAGTTAAAGGTTGTATAGAGGATTTTTTTTAAGGAAAGAGAAATACAGCGACAGTCCTTTTTCAAATGTTGTGCATGCGTGACACCAGCTCCCTCAGTAGAAACACCTTCTCCCGCCTCTTTACTCTAGAAATCACGCTTGTTTACAGCCAGTGCGCGTTTAGAATTACTGTTGAAGTGACCTGTCTAGAAGTAATTTAGCGACGGACGCGTCTTCAGTCTTTAGACCCTTTGTCTGCTTCAGTCGCACCATCGCCGGAAGGAATCTCCAAGAATCACCTCCGTTTGTCTTTGCTCCTTTTCCCCTTTTCTTCTTCAACCAACCTCAAAAACGGACTTTCTTTAGCGGCGAACTTGTCGTGGATTCTCGTCCGCCACCGCAACAAACTTTGTGCGAATTGTGTGGAAGCTAGAGTTTGAAAAAACCTCTAAGAACTGCTGCATAAACGACGTAATTCCCGCGCGCCGGTGAGTCAGTTACACTAGAAACGTAGGGAGTTTGATTGACAACCTTACAGCCAATAGAAAACGAGGTAGCCTTGTTGTCTATTGGCTGATGGATATCTGGCCTCACTACGTCCACAGTTGATGGATTTTCATTCTTTTTTTTTTTGGTCATCATAATTACAAAGCTACTGCGTCTCTGTAATGGTATTTTAAACTTTCATTGACAATTTGAAAATTAAAAAAAAAATCCTCCATACAACCTTTAATTAGTGTAATTCCTCCCTCTTGTGTTTAGCTTTAGTTGGTCCTCAGGTATTTAAACACCCCTGTTCCTTTGTCTGGTTGGGTTAGTTTTGTTCTGTTCAGTTTGATTTTGAGTTTCCCCAGTTGGGCCCGGCTTTTTTGTTAATAATTTGCCTAATTTGAGCCTTTGTTAAATTATATCTTTTTTGGCTTTATTAAATTTAAACTTATTTTTATACCTTGTCTTTGCCTTTCTGTTTGGTCCACTACACGTACCATGTCGATCCGGCTGCTCTTCCACAGAACTTTGATGTCCATAAACTGCTTCATGATCCCCTGCAGGTTCACGTAGATGATGGCGGCCAACACCGACTGGACAGAGCGTAAAAACACAAAATGGAGCCTTAATGTGTTTGGGACATTTTAGTACATTATATCATTATTAGACAGACTAAAGGATGCTCATGGTGCAGGACGTACCTTTGGCAGATCCTCAAAGAGCTGCCCAATCCACAGAGTGATTATGAGAATCACCACCGCCGACAGAGCTCCGGCCACCTGGTTAAAGGGACAGCGGGGAGAGATGTAGATGTTTAGTCCCGCTTTAAATGCTCAACAAAGTCAGTTTTGCTTTTAACTTGTGTCCTTGAGTAATACAATGTGGGCAGACCTGTGTTTTTCCTCCAGTGCTGATCTGGACCATGGTTCTGGACATGGAGCAGCTGATGGCGAAGCACTGGAAGAAGCCTCCAACGGTGTTACTCAGACCCAGGGCGATCAGCTCCTGTCAACATACACCAACAGTAAATCATCACTGGGAATATATAAACTACTACACAGCAGAAAGAAGGATGTAGGTAAGTTAAAATGACTTAAAGGTGCACTGTGGAACTTTTCTAGTGGAGGATCTGTCACCTGCGACTGTTTTGTCGGAAATGTCCCGGTATGGAATTAAACGTATCCCTCTTGTATTTACTCAGTAACATGTTTTTTAATGACCTAAAATCTGAGAAAGCATTTTTACTATTAGTGCACTAGAAAAAAACAACATCAAGCAAAATTGAAATGACTTAAATTAAGAACATTTTACTTTATTTGAGTGGATTTAACTTGACAAGTGAAATTATCTACCTAGAATAGAATGGAAGTGTGTTTTTGTTTAAGCAACGTTTGATTTTGTTTCTTATTTTAAGTGCAAAAAGTTGTTGTTTGTCTTATTTTAAGTGGAGTAAGATGTATTTTCACATTTTAAGTACAAAAAGTCTTGTTCCACTGGTAGATAATTTTACTTGTCGAGTGAAATTTACTCAAATCATGACAAAACTTTCTGACACGTAAAGTGACCCTGTGGCATCACCTGCTGTCTCCGTAGAGATAAATAAGTGTATGTTACGGGCCCCGGCCGTTTGATATTTGTTTAGTGTGCTCTTCTGTATTTGCTTTTGTGTGTGCATGATGCGCTCGGTCCGCGAGCCCTGGACCTGGATGTGCAGGAGGACCAGACGCCGGACGAAGGCTGGCGTCGCAGCGCGTCGACGACTGACCGTTCACCCCTCCGCACCCACCAATCCGCGGGTGCCACCTGTGGTAGCGGGGGTTTAAAAAGGACCATCTTCTGCCTGCTGGAGGCGGCTGGATCCCTGCGGCCAGCTCGCCTCTTTTGTTTGATGTTTTGGGTTGTCTCATTTTGTGTTTTGTTGCCGCCTGTTGCCTTCGTTAGTTTTTGAGACACCTTTTTGTTTGCAGTACAACTTGAGTTAGATTTGTTACATTGTACTTAGTTAGAGCTCTTTACTTTATTAGATTATTTTGTTTAATTGCTATTTATTTTCTCCTCAATTGCCTGTTTTTTTTTTTTTTTTTTGTTCTTTACCTACACTGTAAATAATAAATGCACAATTTTTTGTTAAACCTTTAACATCCTGGTTTTATTGTTACTTCCCTTTCTCCCCGAGCAAAGGGGACGTAACAGTGTAATGCCATGCTGTGGAATATTCCAGACAGTATTTCCATGGAGAAAAGCAGGTGACGGACCCTCCACCAGAAAAGTTACACAGTGCACCTTTAAATTAAGAACTTTTTTTTTTTTTTAGTAGATTCAACTTGACAAGTAAAATTATCTACCAATGGAATAAGTGTGTTTTTCTTAATTCAAGGAACATAAGATTAGATTTTGTTTCTTATTTTCAGTGTAAAGAATAGTTGTTTTTTCTTAAAGGTGCACTATGCTTGTTGCTATGGAGATGTCATTGCTGTCTGGAATGTTCCACAGTATGACTTTAAACTGAACTACTTTACATTTATTCAATTACAGATGATGTTGCTGCTTAAAAAAAAACAAAAACAGATATTCTCACTGTGATTGGGCTCGCCTCTACACAGATCTGACCTGTTACTTAGTCTGGTTTGGTCTCCATGAAGACAGAAAGGTTTAATACCATATTGTGAAACATTCCAGACCAAGCAATAACATCTCCACGAAGAAAAGCATTTGACGGACCCTTAAGTGTAGCAAGATTTTCATATTTTAACTACTTATCAAGTGAAATCTACTTAAAGGTTGTATGGAGGATTTTTTTTTTAGTTTCAAATTGTCAATGAAAGTTTAAAATACCACTACAGAGACACAGCAGCCTTGTAATTATGATGACCAAAAAAAAAAAGAATGAAAATCTATCAACTGTGGATGTAGTGAGGCCAGATAAACATCAGTCAATAGATAACAAGGCTACCTCATTTTCTATTGGCTGTTAGGTTGTCAATCAAACTCCCTGCGTTTCTACTGTAACTGACTCGCTGGCGCGCAGGGATTATGTGGCTTATGCTACGGTTCTTAGAGACTTTTTCTAACTGTCGCTCTAAGTTTGTTGCGATGGCGGACGAGAATCCACGACCAGTTTGCCACAAAAGAAAGTCTGTTTTTGAGGTCGCTGAAAGAAGAAGAGAAGGAGGAAATGGAGCGAAGATAAACTGAGGTGATTCTTTCCAGCGATTGCGCGATTGAAGTAGACAAAGGGTCTAAAAACTGACATGTTGGTCACTAAATTACTTCTAGACAGGTCACTTCAACAGTAATTCTGAACACACACTGGCTGTAAACAAGCGTGATTTCTAGAGTAAGGAGGCGGGAGGAGGTGTTTCTACTGAGGAGCTGTGGAGGAGGAAGGTGGTGTCACGCATGCACAACATTTGAAAAAGGACTGTCGCTGTATTTCTTTTCCCTTAAAAAATCCTCTATACAACCTTTAAAACATGATAAAACTTTGATCTTAACTTGGTTAGATTATAGTTTTTGCAGGGTAGGTACTTAGACACTGTATTAAAAGCCTTTAGCGTTCCTGACCTGGTTGCTGTCCACCTTGTAGCCGTACTTGAGAGCGAAGATCCGTCCCAGAGAAATGGCCAGTCCGTATCCGACCACAGAGATGGCGAAAGCGTCTCCGATCACCTGGGAGAAGAGCGAGACATCGGGGAGCGCTGGAGGCTGCAGGCTGAGGAGAGACAGGAACTACAGCTTTAATGGCGTAGCATAATAATAAGTAAATACTAAAATATAATAATAAATTGTGAGAGAATTTTAAAAAGATTCTCAAATTCTCAAAACAAAATATTTCTGAAAATATTTGGTAGACAAACTTCAGCAGCGTTTCATCTCACCTGGAGTAAACTATAGGAACCACAGAAAGGACCAGATTCTTTCCATGTATTTTTTTTACAATATTTATCCTGTCTCAAATCTGTTTTATTGTCCAACGATCAAGCAGTGTGTGGTTAGCATGCTAGTTGTTAGCCTTACCCTAGTGGGAAAACTCCACTCTCACTGCAGACCAGTTAAAATGAACGACATTTAAGAATCAGGTACAGCGCCTTAAAACTAAAAAATTGGCCAGTCTCAACCGGTAAAAATCCAATCAGCAGAATTAAAAACCTCAGATTTAGATCTCATTGTTATTCTCTGTGCCATTGTTTCCCAAAGACTGGTTCACGACACTCAGGTGGGTCGCAAAGAGATTTTTTTTGGGTCGCCTTGTCACGATCTGAATGTCGGTCTGCAACATAATAATACATGCTGAAATGTTAAGACATGTTTTGTATAATCTGTAATCTTTTTGTAATTATTTTATTGACTATTTTGTTCCAGTGTTGCTGCTTCAATTGAATGTTGAAAAGAAACAGGCGACTTATAGATCCTGTTATTGTTGATTCAATGACTGTTTTTCATTGTTTAAAACTTGAGTAAAACTAATTGTTCAGAGAGACACAATCACTCAGTCAACAATAAAATATCCTCATTAATGTTCAGTAATGGTCAAATCCACCTTTATGCTGGACCCCGACCAACTCGTCTCTACAGGTGAGTTTCAGCTGACGTCATTGTTATTAAAAGCCCGTGTTGCATGCTGAGACATATTTTGGTCGGAGGCAAGAAACAGGATAGCGGTCAAACACAGTGCGTAACCTCACGTATTTAATGGTAAATTCCTGCTGCATTATCGGATGCACAAATAGAAGCACGGAAGAAGGAAAATGTCTTTTTCGTATTCTGAGTGAAAAGAACCGCTAACGGTGAATTAAACGGCTTTCAAACATTCGCAGAGCAAACGTAGAAGATCCTAACAAACCGTGGACTCCAACAAGTTCAACAACACATCGAGACTCTTGGAGGTTTTCATCTTTTCTGCTGTGAATGGCCCAGGAGTTTCCACCAAGTCATTGTGGATATCGCCAAAGTGAATATTTGTCCAGGTAGTTGGCGATTCTGACCAGAAATCTGGTTTGGTCCACCTTTTGTAGAGGTTGAAAAGGGTGATTTGTCGTCCGTCGATGCTTATGACCAATTTCTGGTCAAATGGTCTTGGGTCCTCTGCCGTTAGAGTGGATAAATAACCGGGATCAATACCCTTTACGTGCTTACTTCGCTCCGTCCGTCATGTTGAATTAGTGTTTCTTGCAACCGACCAAAATAATTCCCAACATGCAACGCGCACTTTTGTCAACAATGAAACTCGCCTATACAATATAACAAGAACAGCTATACATAAAAGGTGCACTGCGTAACATTGTTAGTGGAGGGTCCACCACCTGCTTGTCTCCATGGAAATGTTATTGCTTTGTCTAGAATGTTCCACAATATAGATTAAACATATCCATCACGAGGGAGACAAGCAGGTTACAGCACTGCGCTACATTACAATTCAGATCTGTGGAGAGTCGCCCCTGTTGAAATAAGGAATTATTATGGTGTCAAAATAGTCCCATGATACACACGCAAGATAAAACATGCATTCGAGTGTATAATATTATTTCACACGCGTAGATATTAACTGCAAGCGAGAAAATTATCTCTGCGAGCGAGGAGACATGTGTGACCTGCCTGCAAAACAACCACTAGGGGGCAGACACACTCTCAGAAAGATAAAGAGCTGTCTTGGCTTTGTCTTGTCTCTCTGATTTCTGCTTGAGTGAAATTCATTCCTGCTGTCTTGAAGTTGTTTTCTGTTCGCACCTTAATTCGTGTATCCGTGAACCTTTCATATTTTATTGAGTTATGGGAGGGATCATATCACGAAATCTTCCGGGCCTTCATGAATACAATGTAATAGCATTATGTAAGCGAGACCGCAGCGATGAAAACCACAACGAAACCTCTATTTGGATGCCTCAGAGGCGTTTGGAAGAAGGAGAAGAAAGAGAAAGACCTGTGAACCTGAGCCCGTGGCCCACAGAGGCTCGGACAAGTAGCATCTCAAGTGGTCAGAATAAAGTAAAAAAAGTGTTAAAAAAAAGACGTAAAACTTAAAGAAACGCTCGCGGTGGACTTTTTCTAAATAAAAGCCAGTGAGTAACAGACATTTACAAATAATAATAATAATATTAATAATAAAAACTGTGTTAACGGCGTTAAAATAAATGTCAGAGACAATGAATTAATTAGTTAATGCAAAATTAACGCGTTAACGTGCCCGGCCCTAATTACAACGTTACATTCACCAAGAAAAAAAAAAAAGAACTGAAATAAATATCTAATTTTGTAACATTAAAGAGGAGGTATTTTACTTCTAAGTGGTATTAACTGCCAACTCTATACTACTATATTTAGATCACCATGTTGCCTTTTATTGTTTTGAAAACGCTGTATTTGCTGAAAACAAAGTATTAACATGTTTTAGAAGTTTCACTTTCGTTTTTGATGCTCTGAGTTTCCCCTCCCTTTGCTCCCTGCACTAAGGCCAATCCCTTTACACTCCATGGCCATAAGAGTTTCGCCGCGTTTCATGTGGGTAGGAGTATCCCAGTTACCATTAACAACCACCAACAACCACCGGGGGCAGACGCACGCTCAAAAAGATAAAGAGCTCTCTTCTCTTTGTCTTGTTTCTCTGATTTCTGCTTGCGCGAGATTCATTCCTGCTGTCCTTGAAGTTGTTTTCTGTTTGCTCACGCACCTTAATCCATGTATCATTCGTTCATTTGTTTTTACCTCCACCAAGGAGGTTATGGTTTTTGCCGGTGTTTGTCTGTCTGTTTGTTTGTTTGTCTGTTAGCAACATAACTCAAAAAGTTATGGACCGATTTTGATTAAATTTTCAGAATTTGTTGGAAATGTGAAAAGGAAGAACTGATTTCATTTTGGGGGTGATCCGGAAGAAATCCTGGATTCTGGATCACTTTGAAATTTTAGTTAACATTGTGGTAAATGGGGCCAAAAATTTTGTTTCTCAATATCTCGGTTAATTATTGACCAAACCCCATGAAATTTGACTCAGGGATGGACAATGGGATCCTCTTTCATATTCCAAAGGCTGATCCGGATCTGATCCAGAAGACTGATTTTATCGCAATTTCTATAAAAAATGGGGGTAGTCCTTGGCGGAGGTCTGCGCTCTCTGAGTGCTTTTCTAGTTTCAAAATAAAATCAAAAATAAGAAAACGAAAAAAAACACAACTACATTCTTCTTTATTTTTCTCCAAAACCAAAATGAAAAAACGGATAACGCAGAGATAATTCGCTCGCTCGTAGTTAATTTCTACACGTGTGAAATAATACAGTATCCCCGAATGCATGTTTTATCGTACGTGTGTGTATTATGGGACTATTTTCTGACACCATAAATTACTGTATTTTTGAGCAACAGAAACACCCGTAACGAATTAATGGGAGATGGATGTTTAATGTCACACCAAGTAGTGGACCCTCAACCAGAAATGTTACGCAGTGCACGTTTAAACCAAACATACAAAAGGGGAACAGTACTAAGTTATTTTGTTGATTTTAACATTCAGTTTGGTTTTCGTTACAAAAAAGGGATAGAAAAATAAAAGAAAAAAGAAATAAATCTCACCCAGAAGGAATATTGCCCACCACATCAATACCATATTTGGCATTCAAGTTAACCTGCCAGGAGATCACTGTGGCTACGATGATCTGCAAACACACAATACAACATGAGTATAATAAAAATAATAAAACCATGCAGTTCTCTTTAAAGGGACAGTTCAGAATTTTGGACATAGGGTCTCATTTCCTCGTGAGCCAGAGTGTTGGAGACGTGTGGAGACAGATTTTTAAATATTCCATCCAGTCCTTGTATTTGCAGAGGTCGCTGGTGCTAGGCTAGTGCATGTCAATGGCCATAGTTAGCCTGCCACTAAAAACAGTCTTACCCACTCCACAAAACACCCGAAGCAAAACAATTATTACGCCAGACTGTCCATGTGAATGTTTGTGTTGATAGAATCATTTTAGAAGTAAAACCAACTTTGCATTTGAAGGATTTATGTCTGAGCAGCAGCAGCGAGTTGTACTTCCTGATAGAAAGTTTTATCGGCTCTGTACCAGCTTTGTTTACCTGCAGCTGCCATAGTGACACATAGAGCACACGAAGAAGCCTGTTCCAGTTATGGCCATGTTCATGTGGGACCAATAGTATTAAACAGGCACAGTAATGAATGAATTGGAAAGCACCACCAACCTCATTTTATTTTTTTATTATTTTATACCAGATTTGTATAAAGGAATTTTTATATATATTTTTTATATTTCATGTGCACAGGAAACAGATACGATTGTAGACAGGAGATATGCTGGGGATGCACGCAGGCAGAGGAAGGCAACTCGGGGGGGGGCCGGGGGGGGGGGGGGGGGGGGGTCGCAGGTCCTAGTAGTAAAGTGTGCCTGGACATGAATAACGTGATCATAAATGTGTCTCTTGTGTTTCAGGTGAGAAATGACGATTTAAGTGAATATTTCTTTTGATAAACATAAGTTTATAAGTTAGATGTGTCCTATGTGGTGTGACCTAATTGTAAAGTGTGCCTGGACATGAGTAGCGTGATCAGGGGCGGCAGTAGCTCAGTTGGTAGAGCATTCACCCACTGATCTGAAAGTTGGTGGTTCAAATCCAGTTCTCGACATAAAACATCACAGGTTGAGCGGTCAGATCCACTGACCCGCAGGTTGGCTGGTGTGATTCCAGCTCCCACAGATGAATGCTGTCGTTGTGTCCTTGGGCAAGACACTTAACCCACCTTGCCCACAGTGTCTGCGTACACTGGTGTGTGAATGTGTGAGTGGTTCCTTGTTGTAAAGTGCTTTGAGTGCCTTGAATGAGGAAAAGCGCTATAGAAAAATGTGACCATCATCATTTACCGTCATAAATGTGTCTCTTGTGTTTCAGTGCATACGGCATTAAATGGATATAGTGGATATACACTCTCTGAAGCCTCTTTATCCGACCACAAGTGCTACATTTATATTATCACAACTAACTAGCACAGAGTAAAATTCCGCTGCTGCAGAGAAAATAGTCCCTCAACATGCGACGATTCATGCGATACAAGGTTAGTTTTATTTCTAACATTATTCTATCAACACAGACATTTACATCGACAGTCTGGTGTAATAATAGATTTGTTTCGGGTGTTTTGTGGAGTGGGTAAGACTGTTTTTAGTGGCAGGATAACTATGGCCATTGACATGCACTAGCCTAGCACCAACGACCTCTGCAAATACAAGGACTGGATGGAATATTTTTAAAAAAAGTGTCTCCACACGTCTCCAACACTCTGGCTCACTAGGAAATGAGGCTCTCTGTCCAAAATTCTGAACTGTCCCTTTGACGTGTGTTCTTACGGCTATGAGCTCCACTGGTATGGGCACAGGAAGCCATTTTGCCAGATACGTGTTGAGTTCTTTGGCTATCATCAGGCACACGATGGCGACTGCGCTGACCACCAGAGTCCCCAGGTTCGTTTGAGGCAGGAGAGAGCCAATGTCCAACACCGTCTGTGAAAGGAGAGAGGAAAAGATATGGTAGAAATGTTGCCTGACCAGTTAGTCCCTAGTTTGAATCCACAAGGGTCGGGAAGTGGACAAAAAAGGGTGAAAATCCTCTGTCCAAACTTGAGATGATCCAACCACAGTTGCAGATTTGTATCAAGTGTCTCTCAGATTTTCGTATCATCAAAATCTGTGTTGTTTCTCAGTCCTTTATGTAGTTTTTTCCCCTTAAAGTTTGTTGTTTTTGACACTAACAGAGTATCTGTCTCTCTAATTGGTTAATCCGCCTGTCAATCACATCCTCTGAACTCAAGGAGACAGCTCCAGATCCACTCGTCTTTGCAAAGTTTTGTCAAAGTGTGTGGTTCTGGAAAGTATTACGTATGGTGAACTGTTGTACCACTTTATGCCACTAGATGGAGTCACGAGCATCTATTATCTATGTATTATTCCAGCAGTTTGTGAATATTTAAAAGATTACTACATTACATTCCCCAAGAAAAAAAAAAAAAAAGAACTGAAATAAATATCTAATTTTGGAACATTTAAGAGGGGGTATTTTAATTCTCTGGGATATTAACTGCAAACACTTAAAGAGCCCATCTCATGCAAAATCAACTTTTCAGAGCTTTCTACCTTCTAAGAGTGATGTGTGGGCCTTGTATATGTCGCTGAAGTGATTTTTAGATTGATTCTGTGTTTTTTTAAACAAATTGCAGCGTATTTCTGCCACCCTCCCACGTGATAACAAACTAAATCCTGCTGAATGTTCCAAAACCCAAATTGTGCTTGTATATGTGCATAAGATACAATGACAAAAAAGTTATTTTGCATGAGATGGGCCCTTTAATATATTTAGATCACCATGTTACCTTTTATTGTTTTGAAAATTGCTGAAAACAAAGTAGTAACATGTTTTAGATTTTTTTTTTCCTCCCTTTGCTCCCTGTACTAAGGCTGATCCCATTACATCCCTTGGCCATACCACTTTCGAATCTGTTTTGCTTGTTCACGTGTAGAAGTAGGAGTGTCCCAGTTACTGTTATGGCAGAGGAGTAGAACAAAGTGGTAGGGCTATAGACCCATCCAAATGAAGACTGTTCAGAGGCACACTCCAAACAGAGGGGTATGAGCAATTTCCCAGAATGTGTTGCGAATCACCGGCAAGATGGCAAAAGCTCTTCCCATCTACTTACGTAAAAGCTGATGACGTATGTGATTGTTGAAGGGATGTTCCAGTTCGTAGGGTTTTACTTTCAACCCCTACCTCTTGATGCTCAGTTTCGAGGGGCAAGGAGTAGGGGAAGGGGTAGAAATTAGAAACGGGATTGGCCCTAAGTCACTTCCTCCTTCAGAGCTCAAACCCATTACAATTGTTGTTCACTTTGCAAATGAAACTACTGCACATTGCATCAGGTTTGTGCAGCTGAAGTGTATTGTTTTGTGTCATTCTTTTGGTTATTTATAGAGAATTGCTCCAGGCTTGTGGGCTGATCGTTGCACAGAATGTGTGAATGAAACAAAACACAACTCCAGGTATGTTTATTTTTAGGAGGTAACAACATTCTAACACTCTAAAGCTCACAAGAGTAAATTTTTGCATAATATAGAGCTTTTAAGAAATGCTAAGATGGGTCTGTTTTTTTAAGAGTTCTTACATAGATGAGAGCCAGAGGTCCGCTGAACCTGGTGGGGCTGATCCCAAACGTGTACTTGAGCTGGGAGACTACGACGTGCATGGCGGCTCCGGTGGTGTACCCGCGAACCAACGGCTCTGAAAGGTACGTGACCACGAAACCAAACTGTACCAGGCCTAACAGCACCTGAGGAAGGCAAGGGGAGATACAACACAGTTAAAGTGGGACTAAACATCTAAACTCCGCCCACGGCTACATTTCATATAGAGCTGCTAACTTGGGCAGCACCTGGAGGACTAAAGAAAATAGTGAGTGGATGGGAGCGGTGTGGTCTAGGGGTATAAGGAACCGTAGTCTTTTGTGATGTCACCAGCTACTTGAAAGGCCATTGAGTGCAGCACAAAACGATTTTTTGACTGGAAAGCTGCAAATTTGTAGTCAGGTTGGTGCCACCTAGGGTCTCCGCTCGATTTAATTTCTCTCCAGTGACTAGGTCAGGAATCAGAATACACTAGACCAGGGGTTTCAAACTCAAATTCACAGAGGAACAAAAATTAAAAACTGGGCCGTGGGTCAAACTAAATATTTATTGAAAAATTTCATCTGCATGTTTTCTCTTCTTTCAAGATATGTAATGTTGAACCTTTTCTTATTAAAATAAATGTTTAATAATAGAATCCAGAACAAGCATCCTATAAAATAATAACAAAAATTTAAATAAACTAGAAAAGCACTCAGACAGCGCAGACCTCCGCCAAGGACTACCCCCATTTTTTATATAAATTGCGATAAAATCAGTCTTCTGGATCAGATCCAGATCAGCCTTTGGAATATGAAAGAGGATCCCATTGTCCATCCCTGAGTCAAATTTCATGGGGTTTGGTCAATAATTAAACGAGATATTGAGAAACAAATTTTTTGGCCCCATTTACCAATGTTAACTAAAATTTCAAAGTGATCCAGAATCCAGGATTTCTTCCGGATCAACCCCAAAATGAAATCAGTTCTTCCTTTTCACATTTCCAACAAATCTTGAAAATTTCATCAAAATCGGTCCATAACTTTTTGAGTTATGTTGCTAACAGACAAACAAACAAACAGACAAACAAAGACAGACAAACAGACAAACAAACGCTGGCAAAAACATAACCTCCTTGGTGGAGGTAATATCTGTAGCCGGCAGACCACTCTAAAACATATTTGCTATGATCTTGCAGGACAAATATAATTATATCGCCGGCCAAATTTGGCCCCTGGGCCTGAGTTTGACATGTCTGCACTAAACGGTTTGCAAGAACCCCAGAAGTGTGAGTTCGGGCACCAGCCAATCAGTAAAGAGCCATGTATTCTGTTTTGGTAATGATTCCCGAGATCGAGGATTTAAAGCCGGAACAAAGAGAATGTTTGGTGAATTTTATCAAGAAGAATGACGTTATTGCCCTTCTTCCTACAGGATTTGGGAAAAGCTTAATATACCAGTTAGCCACGTTTGGGGCACTTTACATACATCATGACCAAATAGCAGCGATTGGTTAAATTTTAAAAAAGTTCCCGCCTACCGTCGCATGAACAAATCCTATGCTATATCGCTATAATGCTATTAAAATCTATATACTCTAATAGAGAAAAACAAAGTTTATTTAGTTTTAAGTTCCACTATAACAAGAATATCTCTTTTAAGCCAAACAATGAGAATAAGATGTAAAATTCAAATTGATTTTAAAACCAGTAGCTAAATTTGTGCAGCATATCTCTCGGCCTGCAGACTGTGTGGTGTCAGTCTGATGAAGAATCAGCCTTTTCCTTATTATTGAAAACAAGTGTGAAACTGTAGTTTCATGATAACAGCGAGGTATACTGTACAGAGCAGCAAGCAGACATTTTAGTCCTTAAAGTTTAGGTACGGATCTGACATATAATAAATAACGGTGCTAGTTTTGATTGTGTTTGAGCATCTCCAGAAATGCAGATTTTGTGGAAAGTTACTGGTCAATATCTATTAAAAAGAGTCCAAGGAAGGAGCAATGAACAGGCAAATGAAGGAAATCTCGATGATTGGCTGATGTTTTTTTTTTTTTTTCTTTCTTTTTAGACTTAAATACTTACTCAGACAAACTTTATTGATCCAGAAGGGAAATTATTTGTGCACAGCAGCTCACACATCCCAATATAATATAATAAAAAAGAGCGAACATATAAATGGTAATAATGAATTCTAAATAAGTAGCAAAAATAGCAAGAGACAGGTGTGAAATGAACAAGTAAAGATAAAATACAGGAATAAATAAAAAATCTACAAATGTTTATGATGCGTTTGATCCGATTCTTGACTTTGAAACTCAGTTATTTTCATGATTGTCCAAACACACCATCATTCTGGATTCACTACCTGAAATAATCCCGAAACAAAGGTGACGGCCGCTGCCACTTTGATCCTCTCTGCGTCTCGGAGCGTGGTGTTGATGATGACCTCTCCTGTTACGTTCTCCAAGAACTTTGAATCTGGGGCCAGTCGCTCGGTCACTCCTCCGATCATCACACTCATCACTGCATATGTACCTGCACGAAAACAAAACACACTAAACCACAGGTGTCAAACATGCGGCCCAGGGGCCAGATCCGGCCCTCCAAGACCTTTAATCTGGCCCTTGGCTGGTTTTCTACTAAAATATTTTAATTATATTTTTTATTAAAATCTTGTTAATTTTCTGTGGTGTTTATCACAGCAGCGTCTCCAGCGTCTCTGTACGTGGCCCCTCCCACCAGAGCAGCACAAATGAAGACTTGTCTCTTTCCAAACGCTTTTAGAGGACGATCGTTTTGACTGTTGACCGTGACACCCTCATCAGACAAAATGTCCAAAATGAGAAAAGTGGAGACGAGTGCAGGATTTTACAACAAAAACTGACGTATTCCTGTCTGCATACAAGTTCATGTTAAAACATTGTGTTGAAATTGTATTTTTCTTCAAGTTTCAGGTTGTTCATAATATTATAATATTTTGTAAAAGAAAGAGTTCATCAATAAAAAAAGATTTCTGTAATAGATTTGTGTTTCTCTGCACAAATATTTGAACTTATTGTTATTTTTGGGGTTTATATGCCATGAGTTTTTCTGATCCGGCCCCTTTGGGATCAAAGTCGGTTGGATACGGCCCCCAGACCAAAATGAGTTTGACACTCCTGCACTAAACGATCTGATATGATGTACTGTACTGAGGTGTAGTTTAAAGTCCGATATTATGCCAAATTGACTCCTGTGAGCTTTAAGTCATGTTATAATGTTGTTACCTCATCAAAAACAGACCTGGAGTTGTGTTTTGTTTCATTCACATGTTTGAGTTCCTGTATTAATATTAGGCTGCCTAGATTTACTTTGAAATTCTCTGTTCCACCTTGTGATGTCATGAAGTTGTAGTTTTCATGTTAAAAGCTACCTTTTATTAGCCTGATTTCACTTCATAGAAACAGTTTGTCCTCGCAAAATTCGTTCGCTTGACGGTAGGGAGGTACTTTTGATCATTTAACCAATCGCTGCTATTTGTTCGTGACGTATGTAATGCGCCGCAAACGAGGCTAACTGGTATATTAAGCTTTTTCCAAATCCCGTAGGAAGAAGGGCAATAACGTCTTTCCCCTTGATAAAATTCACCAAACATTCTCTTTGTTCCGGCTTTAAATCCTCGATCTTGGGAATCGTTGACAACACTGAATATGACTCTTTGCTGATTGGCTGGTGCCCGAACTTACACTTCTGGGGTTTTTGCGAAACGTCTAGTGTATTTTGCTTCCTGACCTAGTTGCTGGAGAGAAATGAAATCGGTGGCGCCATCCTGGCTAACTGTTTACCTTTAGTTCAGTAGAAATGGGCAATTACGCAAATGATTCATGTGAAGGTGTATGAAGTTTAAAAACACAGTGGAGAATTTCCTGTATTACCACATTACATCATGAGGTGGAACGATGTGCTTTCTGTTTGAGAGAAGAACTCGTCTTAAATATGCAGGATTTGTGTGTTAAACATGTGTGAATGAAACAAAACACAACTCCAGGTCTGTTTGTGACATTATAACATGGATCAGAAAATAACGTAATATGGGTCAGGTTAAAGCGGAGCTCATGTTCTCACAACCTATTCCCTCATTTCTAAGTTTTTTTTTGTTTTGTTTTGTTTTTTTTCTTCCAGAATCAGGCCCTATGTTCCCACATTTCCTTTATGATCAGTTTGTATCAGAGATTTACCACCATTTCTCCCAATTTGGTCGTCAATTACACCCTGCCTATTCTCCAGCAGTAGTTGACTACAGATGTAATGTAGAGGTTGAAATGACTCTGAATCATCCCTTTAAATGTGTTATATAAATAAAAATGACTTGAATTAGAGTTTCATTTTGAGAAAAAATCTTGAAAAGAGGGAACATAGAAGTGTGGGAACATGACTCCGGCTGCTTCAAAGTTACACTGTTAAATATCAAAATGAACCTGATGAAGGTAAGACACAGACACTTTAAACTTCCATCATAAAATCAGTAAATATTAATTGAATATAAATATGATACTTACCTACAGAGATGTGCTTGGAGGTGCCGAAGAAGAAGTAGACCAGAACTGGGTAGAAGGACGAGTACAGACCGTAGACGGCAGGAACAGAGGCCAGGAGCGCGTACGCCATTCCTACAACCAGAGGAGATACACATATACACTACTGTTTTTAAAGTTTTAGCACCACAATTTTCCATTTTTTTTTACTGTTTACTGTTGACCAAAACTTTTGATTCATGAAAGTGTCCACCTTTGGCAGATATAACAGCTGAACACACTCGAGGCTCGTTCTTTTTACAATAGAAATCAAATATTCTTCAGAAAGTTCTTCCCAAGTCTGTTGCAGAAGTTTCCATAAATGTGTGGCACTTGTAGGTTGTTTTGGTTTTCACTCTTCTGTCCAGTTCATCGCAAAACCAGCTCGATGGAGTTTAAGTCTGGAGTCTGTGCTGGACACTTCATGTTTTCAAGCTTTACCATCTTGTTCTTTTTTCCTGAGGTAGTTTTGGCAGAGCTTGGACTTGTGTTTTGTTATTTTTTATCTTTTTTTTAACCTCTGGCTGTTCAGTATTTACTAGGGTTGTCCCGATCCAATCACGCGATCGGAAATCGGTGCAGATTGAGACCAATCCCAAAAATTGGTGCGGGGGAGTGGGGGCAGCAGGGGCAGAGAGGCTGTCTGGCTTCCATCATCTCGTTTTTATTTGGTAAGATTTTGTATTATTTGGAAATCATAGACTGGCCAAAATGTTTTAAATGTAATGCACATGCCTCCATATCATATCAAATATACAAACTCTAGATTATGCAGAGTCGAGTCTCAGGGTCTGATCTGGTTCTGGTCTCTGTTTTGTCCAGTTCATTAAGTTTATTCCAAGACCAGACTGTGAAAAGTCAAGATTTTCAACAATGATGGTTCATGGTTAGAAAAGTTAATAAAATTAAAGTTTTGGACATTTGAGTTCAGCCTAAATACTACACACTGAAATCAATATAATCTGATCCCCCACACACATCCCGGATCTTATTCTTTGCTCTTAGTTCATTTCATAATTTTTATAGAAGTATCGGATCGGGACTCGGTATCAGCAGATACTCAAAATCAAATGACTCGGACTCGGGGGCAAAAAAATGTGATCGGGACGTCCCTAGTATTTACCTTTGTACCATTTCAAGCATGACTTGAATTGCAATAAATAACTGGAAAAAATGTGGGTGTTCTAAAACTTTTGACCGGCAATGTATGTATAAGGACCAAGGTCACTGGTTCAGTCCCCACTGCATTCACTCGCTTCTGGTTGTGAATAGGTGAGTTTCATTGTTGACAAAAGCGCGCGTTGCATGCTGGGAATTATTTTGGTCGGCGGCAAGAAACACTAATTCAACATGACGGACGGAGTGAGAAAGCACGTAAAGGGTATTGATCCCGGTTATTTATCCACTCTAACGGCAGAGGACCCAAGACCATTTGACCAGAAATTGGTCATAAGCATCGACGGAGCCAAATCACCCTTTTCAACCCCGACAAAAGGTGGACCAAACCAAATTTCTGGTCAGAATCACCAACTACCTGGACAAATATTCACTTCGGTGATATCCACAATGACTTGGTGGAAACTCCTGGGCCATTCACAGCAGAAAAGATGAAAACCTCCAAGAGTCTCGATGTGTTGTTGAACTTGTTGGAGTCCACGGTTTGTTAGGATCTTCTACGTTTGCTCTGCAAATGTTTGAAAGTCATTTAATTCACCGTTAGTGGTTCTTTTCACTCAGAATACGAAAAAGACATTTTCCTTCTTCCGTGCTTCTATTTGTGCATCCGATAATGCAGCAGGAATTTACCATTATCGGGGATAAATACGCGAGGTTACGCACTGTGTTGACCGCTACGTGTTTCTTGCCTCCGAACAAAATATTTCCCAGCATGCAACACAGGCTTTTAATAACAATGACGTCAGTTGAAACTCACCTATAGAGACGAGTTGTTCGAGGTCCAGCTCAATGTATCTGGATGGCCAAATTAAAAACGTCATTCAGACTGATAGATCGTGCACTTTACCTTGTGGGAGCTGCATGATGCCCACACTGATGCCGCTGATCAGGTCTCCCAGGGCGTTCTCTTTCACCGGGTACCGCGGTAACCATTTCACCACGGGCACACTGGTCATGACGGTCTTCTTTAACCTCGGACCGGAGCAGCTGCGCAAGAAGAGCACGTCAGAGTGTTAAAGCAACACTACGGTGCTTTCTGGAGGTGTAACTTTACCTGGGTGACACTATGAAAATGGAAAGTTAGAAAAACCATACTTCGGAACATTCTCCAGGAGACAGAGAGAGGTACTGTGGAGGATTATAGTCAAGGAACAAGAATCCCATGGAAACAAGTAAGAGACAGTCCTCCTCCAGTTCACATACGAGTCAGGTTTGTGGAAATGCAAGCCCACACAAAGTAAGGATATATGATTTTTTACATTTCAATAAAACATTAAAAAAAAACCAAAAAAAAACACACACACATAGACTTTTATTTTACTTTATTTTGGCTTAGAGAAAAATCCCACACACTGTCTTACTTGCAAAATGTGAGATTTATTAGGATAAACCGTGCAACATTCAACATACAGTGTAATAATTCTATTTAATTTAATTTATATATATTTTATTATTTTTCAATTATTTTTCTACTACAATTATTATTATTATTATTATTATTATTATTATTATTATTATTATTATTATTTTATTTTTTTTTTATTTTTTTAATTATTATTATTACACTGTATGTTGATTACCTTTTTTTTTTTGAATTATGTTGTTTTTGGTACACCGTTTGTTCTAATAAATCTCACATTTTGCAAGTAAGACGGTGTGCAGGATTTTTCTCGAAGCCAAAATAAAGTAAAATAAAAGTCTGTGTGCGTGTTTTTTTTGTTTTGTGTTGTTTTATTGAAACGTAGAAAATCATATACCCTTACATTGTGTGGGTTTGCATTTCCTCAAACCTTTTTTTCTCAAGTAATTGATGTGCAAAGTTCTTATTCTTTTACTTTATTTTGTTTTAAAAGTTACATAGTGAGGCTTTAAATATGGCTAGATTGTTTAAATCTAAGGAGAGAGTAACTAGGACTAATAAAACTAAACCAGGGCATAAAAAGCATCAAACTCCAGTCAGGAAGTCTTTAAGAGTGAGAGTTACACTTTTATGGGGTATTTATTTGTTAACAGATCGTCATGTACCTTTTATTGTTAAATTGCTCTGTTCTCTGAAAGCAACACATTCAAATGTTTAATTACTTCCAGTTTTGTTTTGACGCCCTTTGCTTCACGTGCCAAGTCTCTCCCCCCTGAAAGTGCTATAAAGTGTTTTGTTTTATATCATATTTTTGTGTATTTATTTAAAAACAGCTGTGAGGGACATGTTTTATACGCAGACTTGTGGGTTCATGATCTTTGGACAGAACGTCACAACTAACCACAACGAGGGTTCAAACAAGTGCGTGGAGAGATTGCTCAATTACTCAGACGTATATGGATGACATATTAAACCACTCCAGACATTGTTTTGATAAAGGAACAACATTTTAACTATAGACTGCATAAAGAAGTGGACTAAAGAGAATGTGACGTCACCCATAGCGTTCTGTTCCAGTCAAATGAAGCTCATCAAGGCTTGCAGTTATAGGAATGAATTTGGAGCTAGTTCCATATTAGGAAAAAGAATTCAATTAAAGACAAAAAAAAAAAAGCAAAATAAAAACACCAGGATCATGTAGAGAGAGTTAACACGAACAATTTAATGAGACCAAAATGACAAGGCTCACTGCAGCAGTTACAGAGAAAGACATGACAATTTCTAAATGTAAAGTCAATTGAAGCCACAGTCCATGGAGCTAGAAGAGCCCCCATGCTCACTTATTATTTGGAACGTGAAAGCAGGTTAGCTATGTTCATTTATATATATGTACAGATGGAGTTAATATGATTAATTGAGATTCAGGAGCTGGACCAAGCCTCAACGTCCTCTACAACCACGCCTTCAAGTACCCAGAAGCCCTATTTATACGGACTGTCCCAACAACACCATCTGTGGCTACGTTTACACTGAAACGAATCACCGTATCACCGTATCGGAAACTATCTGCGTCCACACACGTTGCTTCTGTGTCCACAATCCTTCCTTATCCACACAGTTTTGAACATATTTGTTTACGTTTAACAGAAACAAAACTTAAAACCGCATGGGTCATTTGCATAAACTGAGCGCTCAAAAACAGCTCGCTCTTGTGCACTGATGCGGTTCAGTGGATTATACGTGTTCTTTCTGTGACAGAGGGATGTTCTGCTGATGGTGAGTCTGTTCTGTGTTTCTATTGCGTTGGAGATGATTCATGTTAAACTTTTCAGAGATCATACGTCTGCAGGTCGTACGCATAGACCGTATATATTCATGGACATATATTCTAGCCTCTTAGCGTTTTGGCGATGAATTACTTCGCGGCACATAGACCTACATTGGTGTATCAGCGTTTTCAGGCGTCCACTAGAGATGCGCGGATTGCGGTTACAGCCGCGGTGTCTGCGGCTAAACCACAGGTCGGGCGGATGACGTGATGAAAAACAATATTTTAATTAAATTCGGGCGGGTGGCGGTTTAACTACTCAAATGAAAAAAATATATATTACAGCCTATATTATTAAGTGTTATGAGATATGCGTCTTTACTCCTATGTGTGATGTTTATAGTGGTGTGTGGCGTGAGCGTGACTGAGTGACTGCGTGCGCGCCCCTGAGGCACGCGCTTCTTGAATGGGCCTGCGGAGCGTACGGGTGTCTATGTTTTACTGTATGTGAAATGAACGGTCAGGAAGGCGACCAAAGCGAGTCAGGAAGCAACTGTCCTGTTATTTAGTGCATCACAGCAAATAAAACCACGATTCTTGAGCAACGAACTGACATGTTTATTGAGCCCACGCACTCACGGTGAGGCTCCGAACAGGGAGTTAAACCCTGAGCAACGAGCGGCGTTTTGTTACGGACAATTAAGAATGCGAACATGCACGTTGAGCGAATTTTTGGAATGAATGAGCTATAGAGTTTGCATTTTTATCGAGACTCTTTAGTTTGTTTGCTGTATGATTGTTCTAAAATCTAAAATCAATGGGTGGATGGCGGGCGAGTGCGGTTTTGAAAATTGGTCAAAACCTCGGGTGCAAATGGACAGCGGGCGGATGATGAGTTTTGTGTCGCGGTTGCGGATGAAAAAATAGCCCATCCGCGCATCTCTAGCGTCCACGCGGTGCCGGATCAGATTCGTACTCAGATGAATTCATGTCAGATCGTTCCATCTCTGGAGCTGTTTTCCATCGGATTAGTGTGGACGAACACTGCATCCGCAACGAAGACGACTCCAATATGTACTAGTGTGGACGGGGTCTGTGTCAGCTCTCTTGAACCCCTCCCTCTCACCCTCGTCTTTCGTCCATCCTTCAGTCCGAAGACAGCATCTTTAAGGAAGGGGGTGGGAGAGGGAAGATTATATCCCCCCCAGCCATCCCATCTGTCCACCATCAATAAATATCTTTATCATATTCCATTGTTCTGGGGGTAGTACTTGATAATGAATCTCTGGTTATAACAAAGTAAAAAAAAAGTTAAAGGTTGTATAGAGGATTTTTTTAAGGGAAGTGAAATACAGCGACAGTCTTTTTTCAAATGTTGCGCATGCGTGACACCACCTCTTTACTATAGAAATCACGCTTGTTTACATCCAGTGCACGTTCAGAATTACTGTTGAAATGACCTGTCAAGAAATATTTTAGCGACCGACGCGTCCGTTTTTAGACCCTTCATCTTCGTCAGTTGCGCCGTCGCTGAATCTCCAAGAATCACCACAGTTTGTCTTCGCTCCTTTTCCCCTTCTCTTCTTCTTTCAGCCACCTCAAAAACCGACTTTCTTTTGCGGCGAACTGGTCGTCGATTCTCATCCGCGATCGCAACAAACTTTGTGTGAATTGCGAGCAAGCTACAGTTTGAAAAAGCCTCTAAGAACCGCTGCATAAAGCACATAATCCCCGTGCGCTGTCGAGTCAGTTACACTAGAAATGTAGGGAGTTTGATTGACAACCTAACAGCCAATAGAAAATGAGGCAGCCTTGTTTTCTATTGGCTGATGTTTATCTGGCCTCACTACATCCACAGTTGACAGATTTTCATAGTTTTTTTTTTTTTTGGTCATTATAATTACAAGGCTGCTGCATCTTTCAATGACAATTTGAAACTAAAATTATCAGTGAAAGATGACAATTTCACTGACAATTTGAAACAAAAACAAAAAAATCCTCCATACAACCTTTAATTTTGTATTTTATTTCCTTTTCAAGCTGTAAAGTCCTAACCACTGGGCCACTAACACTCAACCAGGACGATACACGACTGAACTGAGATCAGATAAGTCAAAAGTTAAAGGTGCACCGCGTAACATTTCTAGTGGAGGGTCCGCCACCTGCTTGTCTCCATGGAGATGTTATCGCTTTGTCTAGAATGTTCCACAGTAGAGATTAAACCTAACACAAGCAGGTTACAGCACTACACTACGTTGCAGTTCAGATCTGTGGAGAATCGCTCCTATTCACAGAAAGAATTATTTTATTTTTGAGCAACAGAAACTCACTTAAAGGTTGTATGGAGGATTTTTTGTTTTGTTTAAAATTGTCAGTAAAAGTTTAAAATACCCTTACAGAGATGCAGCAGCCTTGTAATTATGATGACCAAAAAAAAAAAAAAGAATGAAAATCTATCAACTGTGGACGTAGTGAGTCCGGATAAACATCAGCCAATAGATAACGAGGCTGCCTCATTTTCTATTGGCTCTTAGGTTGTCAATCAAACTCCCTACGCGCGGGGATGACGTTGTTTATGCAGCGGTTCTTAGAGGCTTTTTCAAACTGTAGCTTCTTCGCATTTTGCACAAAGTTGGTTGCGACGGCGGACGAGAATCCACGACCAGTTCGCCGCAAAAGAAAGTCCGTTTTTGAGGTCGCTGAAAGAAGAAGAGAAGAAGGGGAAAAGGAGGGAAGACAAACTGAGGTGATTCTTGGAGATTCCTTCCAGCGACGGCGCGACTGAAGCAGACGAAGGGTCTAAAAACTGAAGACGCGTCGGTCGCTGAAATATTTCTAGACAGGTCACTTCAGCGGTAATTCTGAACATGCACCCGCTGTAAACAAGCCTGATTTCTAGAGTAAAGAGGCGGGAGGAGATGTTTCTACGGAGGCTGTGGAGGAGGAAGGTGGTGTCACGCATGCACAAGGACTGTCGCTGTATTTCTCTTCCCTTAAAAAATCCTCTCTACAACCTTTAATGAATAAATTCTCTAGATGGAAATGTTTAAAGTCCAAGGGGAAAGCAAGAACACCTTCGCAGAGACAAGAAAAAGAAAAAGTTGTGCCAGAAAAGTTGCGCCGTGCACCTTGAAGTAGAATCAAATCAGCCAAAAGTTCAGAGTCTCTTACCTGAAAGACTTCTTGAGCTTGTCTTTCACAGTGGTGGTGTGATGGATGGGGTGGTACACGTTGTCCACTATCTCCTCGTCCAGCACGTCTCTGTGGACATTATAGTCCACTCTCCTCCGCTCTGCCATCTTTCACCTGTGAGCAGAGACAGACCACAGACACTCAGCTGTGGGACAAAACCAGGCCCCAAACCCTTTCAACAAAACAGTGTGGAGAAGAAATATAAGCAGTGTCGAGGAGTAACAGATTACATGTACCAGAGTTATGTAATCAGAGTACAAATGATGAGTAACTGTGTTCAGTTACAGTTACTGTTTCAGTGAGTGGTAATTGGATTACAGTTACTTTATTGAAATAAATGGATTACACAGCGGGATTTTCCTGTTTTCACATTTTGAGCAAAACCAGGACTAAAACCAGGACTAAACCAGGACTAAACCTAGGACTAAACCATGTCTAAACCAGGTCTAAAACCAGGACTAAACCCGGACTAAACTAGAACTAAAACCAGGTCTAAACTAGGACTAAAACCAGGATTAAAACCAGGACTAAAACCAGGACTAAAACCAGAACTAAACCAGAACTAAAACCAGGACTAAAACCAGGACTAAACCAGAACTAAAACCAGAACTAAAACCAGAACTAAAGCCACGACTAAACCAGGACTAAATCCAGGACTAAAACCAGGTCTAAACCAGGTCTAAAACCAGGATTAAACCCGGACTAAACTAGAACTAAAACCAGGACTAAAACCAGAACTAAAATCAAGCCTTAACCAGGACTAAACTAGGACTAATCCAGGTCTAAACCAGGTCTAAAACCAGGACTAAAAGCAGAACTAAAACCAGGACTAAACTAGGACTAAACTTGGTCTAAACCAGGTCTAAAACCAGGACTAGACCCGGACTAATCTAGGACTAAAACCAGGTCTAAACTAGGACTAAACTAATACAATATGACACTAACAGTAGGTGGACACAATTGAAGTCAGCAGTGTCTCATATAAAAATCATTTCTCTATCAATAATATTTTTAATACGGTTAAGTACTTTCAGGATGATGTTGGTACATTCATGTCATTTTAAAAAAACATGACAATATCAAGTAATCCAAAGTATTCAGATGACGTTACTCACTTTAATTAATTTAATGGATTATGTTACAAACTACATTTTGGGGTATGTAATCTGTAATCTGTAGGGGAATACATTTTAAAAGTAACACTCCCAACACTGCATATAACACAAGGAAAGGTTAGTTCAAGGGTTAAATGTCTAACCCTGATGAATGGACTAGTTTATAATGGGTCATAAAACACCTCATTTTGAAGTAGCTGAACATAGATACAACTCGTTTTTAGCCAAGTGGCCCACGTTTGACCTACGAAAAAAAGTCGAAGTGAAGTTAAAGGGCCCACATTACGCTACAATATATTCTGATCTATGTTATAATGTCGTTTTCTCATCAAAAATACATCTTGAATTGCGTTTTGTTTCGTTCACACTCGTTTAACACACACGTTTATTTTTAGGCTGAGTTCTTCTCTCAAATGGAAAGCAGTCATGGGGTAATACAGGAAGTGCTCGATGTGTTTTTAAACTCCACACACCTTCACTAGAATCATTTGGATCATTTCAGACCAGGAATTGCCAATCTCTACCAATCAAAAGGTAAAAGGAGCTATTAACTTGAAAACTATACCACTTCATGACAGTGTTGGGAGTGTTACTTTTAAAATGTATTCCCCTACAGATTACAGATTACATATCCCAAAATGTAGTTTGTAACATAATCCATTAAATTACTTAAAGTGAGTAACGTAATCTGAATACTTTGGATTACTTGATATTGTCATGCTTTTTAAAACTACATGAATGTAACAACCACATCCTGAAAATTCTTGTTTGTTTTCTTCAAATTCTCTGTTGAGTCCAAATCTCCATGAATAAACAACTGTTTGTTGTAGAGAAGCAAAAACCAGGAAATCTTAACATGAGATGTTTTGTTTTGTTTTGTTTGCTAAAAGAAAATAAAAAGCCCAGTCTTTACTTAAAGGTTGTATGGAGGATTTTTTTTTTGTTTCAAATTGTCAATGATAGATTATAGAGATGCAGTAGCCTTGTAATTATGATGACTAAAAAAAAGAGAATAAAAATTCATCAACTCTGGACGTGGTGGGGCTAAACATTTGCCAATAGATAACGACACTGCCTCGTTATCTGTGAGCTGACAGGCTGTCAATCAAACTCCCTACGTTTCTAGTGTAACTGACTTGCCTGCGCGCGCCGGTACGTGGTTTACGTACGACTGTCACACAGTCCACAGACGCAAGACGCACAGACGCTGTTTACTCCACCAACGCAACAGTTCTTAGCGGCTTTTTTTGACCTATATCTTCCTCGCAGTTCGCACAAAGTTTGTTGCGATGGCGACAAGAATCCAGGAGCAGTTCGCCGCAAAAGAAAGTCCGTTTTTGAGGTCGCTGAAAGAAGAAGACAAGGGGAAAAGCAGCGAAGCCAAACTAAGGTGATTCTTGTAGATTCATTCCAGCGATGGCGCGACTGAAGCAGACGCAGGGTCTAAAGACTGACGCACTGGTCCACAAATTACTCCTGGACAGGAAACTTCTGCTTATTATGAAAACGTACTTTATTTCCAAGAGCTAGACAAACGTTTTTCAGGACACGAAAGCGATATCCTATGTCTGAAAACGTAATTTTCAAGGCAAAGAAAGAGTCCGCTTGCTGCTGCGTGTTGTAGCTGCTAGTTCATTCGCACTGAATCTCCGCGCAACCTTCTCTGCACCCCTTTCCTGCTCCTGTCCCCGCTGCCCGTTCCGGTCTTCCCCCTGCTCCTCACTTCTCCGGGCACGGCTCTCCTGCTCCCTGCTCCTCACTTCTTGTTCGCGCACGAAATGTCCGCACACCCCCTCCCCCCGCTCCTCACTTCTCCGTCTTGCCTAACCAACACTGTAGTTAGTTGTTTACAAGTCATGTGCAGCACCGGCTGTAAACAAACCTGTTTCTGGCGTAAAGAGGAGGCGGGAGGAGGCGTTTCTACGTAGGAGCTGTAGGGGAGGGGGGTGGTTTCACGCATGCGCAACATTTGAAAAAGGACAAACAGTCGCTGGATTTCTCGTTCCTTGGAAAATCCTCTATACAACCTTTAAGCATATAAAAATATTATTGATAGAGAAATGATTTCTATATGTGATCACTGCTGCCTTAAATTATGTTCACCTACTGTTAGTGTCATATTGTTTAGTCCTAGTTTTAGGCCTAGTTTAGTCCTGTTTTAGTCCTGCTTTTAGACCTGATTTAGTCCTGGTTTAGCCCAAAATGTGAAAACAGAAAAATACCGCCCTGTAATCCATTTATTTCAACAAAGTAACTGTAATCCAATTACCACTCATTAAAACAGTAACTGTAACCGAATACATTTACTCATAATTTGTACTCTGATTACATAACTCTGGTACATGTAATCTGTTACTCCCCAACACTGTTCGTGACATCACAAGTTGGAACAGAGCATTTTGAGCTTTGGAGATGTAGACAGACTAATCATAAAGTGTTAGGCAAACAGGTGAATGAAACAAAACACAACTTCAGGTTCGTTTCTGAGGAGGTAACAACATTATAACATGACTTAAACTCACTTTTAGGACCTTCGAAAACATTCTTGTAAAACTTTTAAGGTATTACAAAATATCAGATTCGGGAATGATCTAACACTGGTCAAAAGCAACAAAAAGTGCAACAAAAATTCACCTTCTTTGCCCATTTTGTATCTATTTAGAAAACTGTTCGTGCTTCTGCTTGGCTGCGAGGCTTTGTGCATTGGTTAGTTGGTTAGTTTGGTTGGTTGGTTGGTTAGTAAACAGTGGCTAAAGATTTGATTATCTGATTTCTGGAGTAGTTTGATTCCACTTGATGTGAGTAATCTGATTTCTTTTCTGATATTTTTACACCTGTGCTAGTTTTGACAAGGAAAATTATGCAAAAAGGGTAAAAAAAAAAAAAAAGCTAGTGTAATAGAAAGAAATTAAAGACAAATTGTTAAAACATCTACAGAGCTATTTTAAAATTCATTGTTACTCCAAAAATCCATTGGTAAACTGGCTATGTTCACATACACGGCAAAACCTGATTCTTATCTGATTTCTGGATGTTTAAGATTATTTAAGGGCCCATATTAGACTATTTTCTGATCTCTTATAACAAGGGTGTCCAAACTTTTTTCATCAAGGACCACATATCTAAACAGAGATGAAGCAGAGGGTCCGATCGAGGGCTGTAGACTGGTGCTCAATACAGTGAATAACTGAAATATGTTATCACGCAGGTAAATTGGACTCAAATGCAACACAAGTACTCAGGCAAACAAAGTCTTATTTAAATAACAGAAAGTGTCCTATAACAGGGAATGTAATAATGGAAACTCAGACTGAAAATATAACAGAGGAATATATGATATAAAATGTGAACAGAAATATCCTCCAAGACTGGGAAATACACTAGTAAGAAATTAACTGGGAGTGAACACAGGAACAGGGACAACAAACAGGGAAACACAGAATTGGAGAAGTCACAAACAGAACAGATTCAGGGAATACAGGGATTTCAGGTTTCAGGTTTTCAGAGCTTGAATGTCTGTCTTAACAGGTCGACAATCTGGCAAAGACTGAGGGAGCAGAGGGAGTATATAAAGACTGGGCCTGGGCTGATTACAGAATGAGCAGCACCTGTAGGGAAAGGAGGGAGGTGGCAAAAGGAGGACCGGAACAGACTGAGAAATGGACTGGATTGGGGAAAACAAGTAAACAAAAGGCAGAACTGTGACATATGTGCATGTTTAACACGTTAGAATGAACCGTCAGACTTTATTCATGCTAAGATTCTTAAAACCACAAACTAAATATTAAATATTAAGTTTATCAAAATAGATTTTCAAAATGCTTGCAGTAAAAAGTTAATTTTTGATTGATGCAAGCTAATTTGGGCCAATTCACCTGGAAGCCTGAGGGCCAAGAAAGATTTGTCTGAGGGCCGCATTTGGCCCACGGGCCATAGTTTGGACATGCCTGTCTTATAATGTTGTTTCCTCATCACAAACAGACCTGGAGTTG